AAAGTTTTTCTGTGCATCTCTAAATATTGAAATAATTAGGCTCAAACAACGACGAATTAAGCAGCTAGAGGGGGCAAGAATTTATTGTACCTATAAACCAGATTTTCTACAATTTTCTTTGGGATTTTTTGTATGTATGACTTCATCTTTTTACTACTTTACCTAAATTAAATTAATTATATCATATTCGAAGATTATAATTATCCAGGATAAATGTAAAACAAAACATCAAATTTTACAATTACAAGAAGCATATTTCTTTTATCATAGGACATACAAAATAATAGTTTATTTGTAAAAATTTCCCTTTTTATCATATTATAAAGAAAAATAAAGCTTTTAAATTGAACCCAGCTGACTCAATAAACAACAATAAAAATTAAAAAGTATTAAAAGAATAAACACGTTCTTGATGTAACAAAATATTTAAGGCAAATATAGCTAAACGACCAATTTAAAAAAGTCAGAAATAAAATATTGTAAAATATTTAGACAAAATAATAATAATAAAAAAATAATAAAGATGCAACTTTCATTATTTATCTGTCCACACTATTACATTAACTTATTTCAAATTTCTTAATAGGAATTTTGCAGTTATTTCAATTAAATTTTTTTATTTTGCCTTATAATCCGTTTTTTCAAGCAAGACGTTATTAGGAAGTTAAAGATAAATTAATAATTTTTTATGAGTTTTGGTATCCATAATTGCACTTTGTATGGGAACTGCTTTGGTAATTTACATAAAGGGATTTGTGTTGTTTTCATCGGAGAGTAAAGTTGGAGAGAATTACGATGACCGCAGAGCAATTATTTTATGAGCCGTGTAGTCATTCCAGCTGGGAAGAGCGGTTAACATGGCAAATAAATAAGCCACTAGCACACACACTGGAGAGGATAAAATAAATTTCCGTTAGTGGATAGTGCAAATTACCCAAATTACAACTATCAAGCTTTTTAAGTTGAGCTAGATTCCTAAAAAAGAGCTGCATGATTAAAATTTAACAGCAGGGACTAAGAATGAGAGACTAAATCTGAGACAATTCAAACTCTTAGGAGTTTGCGGCATTCTTCGTGCGTTACGCACATTTTTTTTCTCTTGTTACGCCTTGAGTACTCTTCGCGCAAAATAGCGCAGCTCGAGAAGGAACACACGAAGGTATGAGGCAGAAGGAAACAATGAGAGAGTTATTTCTGCGGGTATTCAGTGAAGGCAAATATGAAAGGAAGACAGAGTCTTGCTGCATTTATATAAATGCGGTTGCTTTTCTCACTCCTCGGGGAAATTATAAATTCTCTCAGCTCGGCTCGCCACCAGCTCGCGATTTTATAGCGCGCCGCTCTGACAAAAGCTCAAGTACTGTGTACTCGTCGTCTCTCTCATATAATTATAGCAAATATTAGACATAATATCTCACTCCATTTAATTAAGCACAGAGAGACCAGAGACAAATTATTTTAATCATCTAATAAGCTGAAGAGTCTGAACTACACATGATTATGATCCATGAAACATTATTTAACTCGCGATTTAAAAATTATGAAATTATGTATGCAGAATAATTTGGTTTTTGAATCAAAATGAAAAATATTTTATTTGTTAACTTTTTTGTTTTTGCAGCTATTTTTAATTATTTATCGTTCATAGGTTTCTCAATAATATTTTTTTTACAAATATTACAAAAAAATATATTTCTTCTTGCCTGAGTTTCAAAAGATCGAGGAAATATTAAAAAAAATCCAATCAGTTCGCGATCCGTGCGTGTCCGCTGCGTCCAGACTCCAGACCCAGAGTTCCGCGGCACTGCCAACGCCAACAAACTGAGCCAAACTGGCCGGCTGGCGTTCGCCGATTTGAGCTGCGTCGTCGTGGACTTTGAGGAGGCGGCCGGCGAAATATCATCCGCGTGCGCAGGTCGAGAAGCGAGACGAGAGCAAACTGGCTCTAAACCTACCACATTCCAGCCAAACTCATTATAACCTGAGGGCTGAATTGCTCGCACAAACGTGCTCACACTGGTCATGATCGATTCTTCGTCTAGAGTTGGCTGAAATAATCTAAAAATAATCATTATGATTACTTGCAAAAGTGTTATTATGACTGTAGGTTTCATTTTATTTCAATTTAATTCGAAAATTTAAAGAATATGTCTCCTTATAATTAATACTCACTGAAGCACTGGAGTTATTCTATTATGCCGTATTAAGCATTGTGTTCACATAATTATTTTCAACACATAATATTTTAAAGAATTTTAAAATAAAACATGTCATGCACTAGTACAGAATTTTATTTCAATTACAAATTTAGTTATTCTATTATCAATCTTTATATTAAGTTCCAGTTTAATTTCAAAACTTCATGTCGAAAATGCTTTACGTTTTAATTGATAATCCTGCTTGACATTGAATGAAAGCGCAATTTTTGTTTTGGCGCGTGCTTTAATTTTTAGGTAAAATTATCAAGATATAAAAAAATGGTGGAAACTTATGTTTGACCGCTAAATTATTTTTAGAGCGCATTTTATTGATTAACATTAATGGGGGGGGGGGTGAACATTTGCTTAGTCAACGGAGAATCAGAAAATAATTTTTTTTTATTAATTCTAGCCGAATTAAATAATTATAAAAAAAATGCCTTTTCCCGATATGGAAAATGCCTCAAACAATTCCTTCGCCATCTAGTGCAGAAGCATCGGCTTCTGTGTAAGCTCCATCAGTTTGTAGATGGCAGCTGCTTCACCGTTGGATGCTGCATCTGGACCAACTTGGGACCAACTGTTACTGCAGTGGGGGAAAGTGTGCGAAAATTATTTCCATGTACATACTGACTGCGTCAAAAGTGTATAGATCCGCACATTGAATATTGTTATCCATGACATTTGTTGCCTCTAACAATTATGTTATTTTAATACCGAGGAAACTTGAGAAAAATACAAACTTCCCAACATACCAAACAAATAAAATTTAATAAAAAGCACATACACAACTAATAATTTCAAATTGTGTTCAATTGCGATGGATTTTAAATAAATACAATTATTATGCATTATTTTTTACCTAGTTATGTGAATTCCAATTAAATTTGATTTATACTGTGTTAAAATAAAAATAATATAATATTGTTATATTGTTATTTTTGCTGTTTATATTGTTCCTTGTTATCTGATTGTTATTATTATTATTATTGTCATTATTATTATTATATTTAACATAAAGATATGATGATGATGATGATTATTATTATTATATTTTATAATTGAACAAAAAAGTTTTTAGGAGGGGAACCATTTATAATTTGAATAATTCACTATCGCAAGAAGCTTCATTTTCAAAGCCTGCATTTCATTAGATTGCTGCATCATTTATTCTCCGAATCATGCAATTTTACAATTAGTTTAATGTAATTTACAAAAGTTCGAGAAAAAAAATAAGATTTGATACAGAAGCCTAGCTATTGAGCTAGTTTGATGCGAATGAGAAAATTAGATAAATTATCGCACTTATTTAGCAGTTATTTGTATGTATATTAAGTTCTTACTCTTGATAATTATTATGTAAGACTTGGCAAACTGAACTCGTCTATAATTTGACTAGATGGGGATTTTAATAAATTAGAGTGGCAAAAGGGAGGAGGAGCTTCAACAATATTGATTATGAGACGAATCTTGTTTCAGAAAGGTGTTTCAATTTCATCATGCCGATATTATACATTATGTTTTGTGGAAAATACATAACAGGAAGATCTGTTGGCGTAGAGTTTCCGGTGTTCCGGAGCTTGCATTTGAATCAACTTGGAATGAACACCCTTATGCCCAATTTGCTTTTTGGAGAGTGAAATCTAAGGATCGGAAAGACAATTCATATTTATGTATTATTCAGTCGAGATTTTATGACAGAGATGATTCTGCAAACATAAGAACGTGCAAAAGAACTTTGATGCAAAAATTGAGATTTTTGATTAATTTTTTTTATTAGGATTTGTGCACACATATAAGAAATATGCAAACATAGATATAATTTTTCAAAATTTTTTACAAATTCCTTTCATCTCTTGCATACAATGAACGTTTAAAGGCTTCTTATTGGCATATCAAATCAAGTTTTGCAACAATGAAGGTTTAACTTTTTGAATAATCGCAAAACTTGGCTCTGATTGTTGTAAAGACTTGATTCGACAATAAGGAGTAAGGAGTCCTTAAGAGATTACAAAGATTAAACCTTGGTATGAAAATATTGAAACCCAGTCAAAAATGCCATGGTGGCCCAGTGCAGGGCCGGTACTGGCAGCGAGGGCGCGCTGCTGGCTAAAGTGCTGGCAATTCGAGAGCGGCCAGCAGGCAGCCACCGCGGTGGCTCTCAGAAGGAGAGAAAAAATGATTCCTGCCATATTCTAAGTCCGAACGCTGGCTAGCCGTGATTGAGCATTAATGGCATTGTCAATGGGTGCCAATATTGTTCAACGTTTTTAATATACCATAATTATTTAAATTATCATTAAATTTTCTAAAATAAAATAAACTAGTCATTTAGTCTAGATGTTTACCTTTTACATTTTTCTTTATTTTATTTTTTAATATTTTTTATTTAAAATATCTAAAACATCTTTTTTATGGTTTTATTTAATTTAAATTATTTGTTTAGCTCAGTTTAACTTTATGATTTATTTACACCCTTTAAAAAATATATTTTTAATTTGGACTGCGTATAATTTAAAGATTTTCTTCATTTAATTTTAATTGCTCTTAATCTACAAAATATAAGTAATTCACGCACGCAAGTTCAGTCACTTCAATATTCTTTTATTCATGTTAGGGAATTTTCAAAATGTAATTTAATGTAATAAGTTTCTTTTGCATGATATGAACGCGTTTAATACCGGTTGGAAGGAAAAAGTTATACCACCCTGGCTGTGCGGTGGCTGCGTTGCGGCCAGCCATATACACTGCGTGCGTATATGCGCAGAAGAGAGATTTCAGGCAATGCGCCGCTTCTCCCACAGCGGCGTCAGGGCAATAACAACAAACATGTCGGACGCGAGACCTGACCACGTTTATCAGCTCCGCATTTTTTCATAATTTAAGCCCTTAAATTGCAACACTTCTGGAAAATTTTTGTTCGCCGATGCTGGGATCAAGTTCGGTCACCGATTTACAAAAATGGTAAGTTTAAAAATGAATTAATTCTGGCATAACTTAGCGTAGCATCATTTTGACGCCAACAACAAACATCTCTCACATATACGAAGCATGCTTGAAGGGCGTTTCTTTGCCTAAACTGCGCCTAAATTAATTTAATATTCATTCAATCTGTTTTTCCGATTATTAATTTAATTTATTAATTTGCATTTCAGAAAAAAATCCTAGGAGTCAAATTTTGCCGAGGAGACCCAGCAACGCGGAATATATACCCACTGCTCATCCCCTGTTTGTTAAAATAAAAAAGGTAATGAATCAATTTTGTTTCTCAAAATATTAAAAAAAATCTTACACAATAAATAAGTTTACGTCGTGGAAAAATTTAATTCCATTTTTAAATTATTTTGGTATTAATGAATAATTTTATTAATTAATACAACAATCGAGATTTTTTTGCTATTTAATCCGCAATTTTAATTATAAAATTTTACTGTTTCAGAACCTTTTGAAGAACACCTCAGACATCAGCGGTATCGACATCAGCCCTGCTTTGTGGATAATGTGCTTCATCAATTAGGTAGAATGCGATTTTATTAAGAAAATAATTGTTAGATCGATCTATAAATTTATATTATAAATTATTATATAACATATTCTAATAAATTTGTCAAATTAAATTCACTTATATACTTGATTTATATAAAATTTGGGGAAATGAGTTTTTCAAACAATATGAAAATATAGTAAATAGTTGGTTGTTGGTTCCATTAAGCTTTAATCCTTTTGTGTTTGGTTTAAAATTTGAATTATTATTGTAAAATATCAAAATATTCAATGCTCAACATAAACAAATATTCTTGACTTCTGACTGATATTATTGTGTAATTTAAGTTTGAATAATAAAAACATATTATTTTTCCTGAATAAATATGTCATTTGATTTATATAATATAATATTTTTTTTAATATTACCCAAATTATGAAATTAAAAAAATTAAAATTATTAACAATAAAAAAAGCAAAAAGTGTGAATGGCTATTCCATTTTGAGCCATGTCGGTTGCATTATGGCTAGCCAGCGTGGTGCCATGGCTGGAGCCGGCGTCGGCCCAGTGCTGGGTCGGCCTGCAAAGTTCGGTGCGTACCATTGCTGGCTGGCCCGCGCTGGCGTGTCATGGCAGGCCGGCGCTGGCCCCCCATCCAGCCAGCATGGCATTTTTGGCTGGGAAGAAATTTTAAGCATCATTTCCCAACTAATGTCAATGCAATTCACGTGAATTATTATTAATACAAAAATTTACACGTTTTTTTATGTATTTTTTCCTGTAGTGTATGCAAACTTTGTGCTTAAAGTTACATTTAATAAAAAAAATTAACATGTTTTAAAACGTTAATTTTGTTATTGATTTTTTTTTTGTAATTTTTTGTGTAGAGTTGTGTCGTGTTTGTGTTTGTTAAAATTGGATTTTGTATAAATTTTTTCAAATTATCTCTTCAGCGTCTTACATACCTTAATTAAAATAAAAATTCAAATGAAGTATTGTTTACCACAAAATCCTGAATGCCAAGGAGTTTGACTTTTCTTCTGAAACTTTAATGAATAATTCTGATTTTTCAAAGCGTAAATTATTTTCTAATTCTTTTTTCCTTTGTTTGTATCGCGGAAACCATGTTCGCCTTACATTCCATGAAAATTGAAAAGAAACCCTTCATCGTACCACGCAGCTCGCGTTCAACTCAATTCCAAACAAATTGAATGCTAAATAAAGCGCGCTTTTATGCAAGACCATGTTCAATACAAATCTTGTACATTTTCCTGTTTTGAATACAACTCAATTATTTATTTCTCGCTGGTCGTCCCCATTATAAATGTAGAAAGCGGTTGGAACATTTACAGCTCCATCCATTATGGATGCGCTCGCAAAATATTGTGTGGTTGGAAATTAGAATAAAATACTTTCCAGACACACATTGAAACTAAATATAAAATAAAATGATTATGCTGCGGAGTTCAAAATTTATTTTCTTTACTTGGATGCGATTTTTCAGCCTTTCAAATTTGCTTAAAATGTGAGAAACGCTTTACTTATTAACTTAATAAAAATTATTAGATTAAAATATTAACCATTAGAGGAATTAGTATACTTTTTTTTATTTCAAACTTAGTTTTTGTAAGTTGCATTTAAAAGAGTTGAAAGCTAAATCTCTCTGTGTGTTTTACATTTAACTTTTAATACGATAATTGACCATTATTACAATGATTATTCATATATCGTTGGAAACTTTGAGCTGCTTTAAGCGTCGAATATAGTTCAAATATTTTAATATAATTATAAACATTCATTAACCTTTTTTTTATCAAAGGCACACGCACTGTAGTACACTGTACATCTAGAGCCCAAAGATGTTTGATATACGAATCCTTTTGAAGTATTTTTAAACCCACAGCTGCCAATTAATTTACGAATAAAGATCACAAAGCAGTCTTTTCCTCCTCTCTCGCATCGCACAGTCCCCTCTGCTTTTATTTTGCCACAAAATTCGCACCCTGAACGACGCGTTGGCTTCGCCTTCGATCACCAACGGCTGCCCAGGAGGTCGATCGTCGCAGCTGCTGTAGCTCGTGTAGCCGCTGCTAAACACAATCCTCCGCCTCTTGCGCCGCCACTAAAAAAGTGCAAATATAGCTTCATTAGATGCGGCAAAAATAATCCAGAAAATATGAATAATAGCAATGCTTATTTTTACTTGTCCTTGCAAAATATTGCATTTGGGAAACTTCAATAGATTTTTAAAGGCTGCAATGAGATAAAATCTAGCAAGAAAGAAGCATCCCCAAAGCTAAAATTTTTGTATGAAGGAGACTCGGAGGGAATTGAATCACTAAAATCAAGTTGCGAATAGGCTTTGTTCAAATTGCTGATTATTCACAATCAAAGAAGTTAAAATATAATTTCTTGCAGAATTAATTGAAGCGGTCCCAACATTCACTATTCATTTGGTATACATTTGTAGAAAGGAATGGAAACGAGAGGAGTAATTCAAACGATTTTGTTACACAAAAGCAAGAGAGATTATAATAGAATGTGGTTTTGGTGAAAATAAATTGAATTGAATATGAAACTGCTGGATTACAAATCGTTTTAGGTTCTCCGGTGACTTAAGTTTGTATTACGTTCAGCGGAAAATCAAAAGCGTATTATTATTGTAATCACATTACAAATTCAAAGAGACAAACCTGATCGCAACGAGAGATTCTTGATCAAAACCATTGTGATTTTACAGCAATATTTTGAATCATTGAAAATTTAGCCTTCTTATGACAAGCAAAAAAGTATTAATGCAACAAGCAAGCTGTTAGTGTGATTTTCAAAATGCAATATTTATAATTGCATTTAACAGCGATGAAAATTGATATTATCATTTAGGCTGTCCGAAATTATTAATTAAACGATTCATCGATGCACAATTTTAATTTACCATCAATACGGAGTGTTAAAATGATTTATACAGTTTAATGCATGTATCAAAGGCCCCATCATCATTTTTAATTTATATAATATTATTTATGGCATCAATTGTCAAAAATTAAATTGTTGTGAAGAAAACAATTTAATAAAATAGGAACCATGAATTTAGATTGGAGATTACCCGCTCAACCCTTCAAGAGAGCAAACGCTATTATATCATGACATATAACCATAACCTTACAAGACTGCATGAGACGATTGTAAATGTTTAAAATTTAGTCAAAATCTTACTTTTACACGTCAGTCTATTATACTTTGCAGACAATAATATCAAATGATATTCCTTACGTCACTTTATGTATCTGCTGACCAGAATGTGTCAAAACTTCACTATATATGTTACAAAAGAATAGTTTTAAAGTTGGGCACTGAAATTGTAAAAGAGGAAAATATTTATACAAAATAAATACTTGCCCGACTTGGCAGTGGTGGTTGGCCGCACTTCAAAAATGACACTGTCGTTGGCCGAGGACCCCCTGGCAGCCAAGGTCACGGCGGAGCCCTTGCAGCAGCCAAAGACGGCAACAAACGCTTGACGAAACTTTTTGTTCATAAAGCAGTATGTGATGGGGTTGCAACAGGAGCTGCAATAGGCCAAAAGTTGCACCAGAGCCACCCCGGTGCTGCCCATCGACTTGTAGACGGCCTCAGGGCTGAACAGGTACCAAGTGTTGAGGACGTGTAGCGGCGCCCAGCAGAGGAAGAACTCGACCACCAGCACGAAAAGCATCCGGATCACCTTGCGCTTGGCGTCGATGCTGCGCTCAGCGTACGCAGAGCAAATGGTCGCGTGGTGCCTAATCTGCACCTGATTCATTTTGCTCACAGATTTTTGCAACGAGCGTAAGGAGAGTTCTTCCCTGAAGCAGTCTGCAATAAAAAATTCCAGAATTCCCATTAGACTATATTGTGGCAGTAAGTGTTAATTATTTTTTAATTCGTCGCGTCATGAAATCTTTGAAGCATGAAAATTGTTTAGTAAAAATCCAGATTTTCAAAAGTCATATTTGCATGAAAATAATTTTTATGATGGATTCAAAAGAAAAATTCTGCGGAAATACTAGCAATTATATTTTCCATGAAAACCTGAAAATAATTGTAGCAAGCAAATTTATGCAATTTTAACGCATGAAAATTTCCATCATATCAATTTAAATAAAATATTATATTTACTTTTTCTAAAGTAGAAAATAAACATTCCAATTGTATACTGCGCGGTAAAACTTTAATTTCTCATTATAAAAAGAATAAATAATAATTAACAACTGCTCAAATTTCAATTTTTCGTATGTTTTGTCATTTTATATTTATGTTTTCACTATCAATTAATTAAGAGGAGTTCTTTCATGACAATGAATTCAAAACACTGAAAACAAACACCGTGTGCAAACTACACTAAAAACCGACTGACAGTGTTCTCCAGGGAACGAAAAAATAAAATAGTAGTGTGTAAAAATCGCTTGCAGCTCAAGGCTTTTGTAAAGTAGCATAGACATAATTTTTTTTACATTAATTTTCTACTTGCAACGAAGGCCGCTACTTAATTAATTATATGATTATAAATTAAATATGAAGTATTTCATCATATATTTTATACTGCAGATTTCACTTTAGTGAAAATAAAATAAAAACGAGATCCTACTTTTAGATTCAACTGGATTTAACTCAAATAATGAGCGAATTCTTTAAAATCTAGAAACACCTTTTATGCCCTGGAATATTGAAGCAAAGATAAACATTAACATCAAGGACGAGGATTATTTAAGTCCATATCTTCCATCTTTGCGCATAAATAAATTCTAACACACTATCTGAAAGCCACTCATTTCTAAGGCTTTCCCTGCTAAACAAATTTTGGATTTCAATGTAGAAACTCCGAAATGTCCACGCGGCGAAGAAAATCATGGTCTTAAAAGGGATTTTTTTGCAAAGTGGCAAGCACTTATGTCGCAGAAAAAAGAAGACACCTTCCCTCATTTTTCCAGACTAATGAGGCGTGCGAGAAATATTAAATTTACATACATTTTAATACGTTTATAGCAATATACATTTGCATGGAGCAACGCCTTATTTCATATTAGGAAAATTCAGCAGCAGATTCAAAGGTCCATGGAGATTCAAAATTCACATATAATCAATATATAAAACAGGAATTTCTCCTTTCACGCTTTATATTCCTGCACAAAAAAAGTGAAGAGTCAAATCGTACCCTTCATTGTTCTGCCCAGAAGTCTCTTTTGTCTGAAAGCCACTTTGTTCGTGTGCGTCTTAGTATTTTGTGTACTTGCCTGGATTCTTGCGCTGGTTGCTGTGCTGAATCTCGCGTTTTAAGCCCTTCCACAGTTTGCTAACGATGAGAGCGTAGGCAACCACCATCACTGACAGCGGAAATATTAGCAGCACCAGGTCAAGTGAGATGTTAAAACCGCGCTCCGAAATTGAATCAGGCCATTCTTCCCGACATTTGTGACGATCTAAAATCAATTTATACAAATATTAAAATAATTATAATTAGATTGATATATGCTACATAATTATACAAAGTGATGTTAAGTAAAAATTTATTTAGTTCAATCCAGAAATTGAAATGTCAAATCCATGAGAAACACGTGGAAGGCATTTTTTAATTGCACTTTGAAGTCTTGCTGTCTGCAACAAATTTTTCGAATTATAATGTTTTATAATTCATAAGTTTGCCATTCATTAAACGCTGCTCACCTTTATATTTGTATATTGCGTTTAAAAAATCTTCTCCGTGAGCATACACAAATGATATCTTTTCACGCTTGAATTATGTTAAGTGAAAAGCCACATGGTAAAGAAAATTCATTCACATGCAGCAGGGGAGAGGAACAGGGCAATGAATATAACAGGACGCTCTTGTTAATGGGGGAATGTACGCGCGCGTAATTGCGCCCTTGGGCAAACGCACCAAATTTTAATTACTCTTTGTGCAAACGTTCCATCCATTTCATTCTATTTTGAAGTGTGCATTTAATTAAAAAGAAAATGGCAAGAGATTTTCGTATGTAACTATTTTTTAATGCGTATTTTCCCTGTGAAAGTGGCGAGCTGTTTAATTTATTTGTCAGTCGCGTCGCAATCTGCGTTTCCATTATAATATAGGTTGCGAATTTAGTTGCAGTGAAAAGTGTAGGTATCAAAATCGAGGGAGAACTCCAGCTTTGAGATTGTTCGTTGATGGGGCAAAAAGCCTGTAGCTGATGAAATTAGTCTTGCACATGAGAGGATTCAACGAGGATTCAACTCTGTTAAAATTAGGTGCCTTTAATTAATTAAATTGAACGCCTGGCACTAGATGTTGTGTATCTGCGTGGAAATCGTATCGCTTACCTTTGTCTCTGGTGGATTTCAATTTTGACATGACGAGAATGGGCAGGTTGAGCAGGAAGGCGGCAAGCCACACGTAGCCGATAACTTTGTAAGCGTGAAAACGCGTTTGCCACTGTCGCGACTGAAGTGGCCGGCAAATGGCAAAGTAGCGTTCCATCGAAATTGCCACGAGGGTCCAAACTGTCACAAACACCGACACAGCTGCAACAAAAAGCCCCCAGAAACCTAATTAGCTGTACACACTGCCGCTCTTTCAGCATTTTATAAAAGCCAATTTTCATTGCAGAGAGCCGCAGCTGAGGGCAGAATTGCAACTTTTCAAAGTGCTGCTATAGCTATAGGCAGCGTGCTGTACAAGATTTTTTTTAAGTGTAAGATGAAGCTTCATAATGGTAGAGTTAAAAGAAGTCGGTTCATCCAATTTGCTCTTAAGAATCAAGGTATAAAAAGTTTCCTGACGCAATTAAAATTTTTCTGACAAAGTTTCTGTGAAGCACAACCAAAAAATATTATTATTTTCAAAAAAGCGTGTTGCTCTATGTAACTTTTGTAGAGCTTAAGCGCTTTATTAACAGAAGGCAATAATTGATAATTATTAGCTACATTTGCTTTGAATTTCTGTCCTCTCTTTCATTCTCTGAAGAAACGAAGACTTGGAGAGCGCACTGTTCTTACCTCATGAATATTTTATTTTCATTGCTTTGAAGTAAAATTTTTTGTAGAAGAAGGACGAGAAACATTTGATTAGGACGGTAAATTATTCACCACTGATTACATAAATGAGAAAATATATAAGATCCATAAGATTTTTTTATTCAAAAAGGTTGCAAAGGGACGTGCGCTCAGGTTGGTCAAAAGGCAAAATTTTAATTGATTTACACGGTAGATCGAGCATCAAGCTTTAAGTTCAAGGAAAACGTCATTTTTTTCATCAATGTGTATGAATCTTCTGAAGTTAATATAACACCGATTTTTTCCACTTTTTTGAGGAATAAACATAATGGGACATTTTTTTTGCAATCTCATTATTAATTAAATATATATATATATATATATATATATATATTTTTTTTTTTTAATTTTCTGAGACCTATCACATTTTGTGGGCCATTGGTTTTTATTTAGCTCGTGCGAATCTCTTTCTTGTAGTAACTTACATGATAATAAATATAAGTTGCATCGCTTGCTTAAATTGAATTTCTTTGTAAGTATTTTAGCATCTCTTGATAGAACAAAAATAAATTCTATTTGAGAGCCTTTGTGTAGCCTCTCACCATTTTCTTTGTAAAACTGCAAGCCTTTGAACCGTTTAAATTATCAAAGAAACGAAAGCCCTCTTTAAAAAAAAAAACAGCAGAGATATATGAATTGTTTACTTATGCGCTCTTATTGTTAGCCCTAAACAGCCCAAAATAAACTGAAAGTAATCAAGCAAGAAAAATATTGCACTCTTTATTCACTGTGTACCCTTATTAAACAAAGCTTTTAGCAAAAGAGCAAACAACGGCATTATTTTATAACCTAAGCCTTAAAATAACTGATCGTTTGTGAGCGTTTTCGCAATGTATGTAGGAATAAAAAAGGTGAACTAGTTATCGATAAGTATCTGCAATTCAGCTTTTCGCGTTCAATGTTCGGGAGGCAGGAGAAGAAAAATAGATTTAATATAATTCTTTGTTTAATGGAGCAAGCAGACAAAAAATTATTAAAAATATTGTATTCAATATGAAGTGGCAGAATTTCATAAATATTTCAGGTTACCAAAAGTAAGCTTGAGAAAAAGGGTGATTTTTAGGCGGAATAGGAACCTATTTAGGTTATTGCTTCATCTTTAAAATATCGGTAACAAATAAGTGACTTCAGTTGAAAAATGCCAAATAGGTTAATTTTATTTTTGTTAAAGCTGTTTGGGTGATTTATTTAAATAATCTATTTCTTTACAAGATTTGAAGTGAATTTTGAATTATGAAAATCGGTGAAGCATAAAAAGAAAAATATTGGCTGATTTTAGAAGTAAAAAAAATAGGTGTTATTTTTCTCAGATGGGTGATTTGATTATTATTATTGTAGTTTATAAGTCCAAATTGATTTTAACGTAAACATTTCGTTGAAAAAAAAACTGAAATTGTTTTTCATCTTTTTTAGTGCATTATAGTTCATTGGCAACAAATAAATTAAAATATCAATATTTATTTTGGATATTTCCCATATTATATGCATTATGAAGCATTTAAATAGACGCATAAAGGATTTTTTTATGTATTATCTTCTGCGTGAACGAAGATCGATTAAAAATAATAGATTGGATGTATTTATCTTATATAATGATAAGAAAAAATTATCAAGATGACTCGCAGACAAATAAAGAACAATAAAAGACGCATAAAAAAATATTACCTTGAAAATACGGAATAATTTTGCACATGGTGTAGCCAAAAATAAAGTTGCGTAGAATTTGACCAACCAGAGTGAAGGGCATACAGAAGACTCCCAGCAGCAAGTCGGCGATCGCCTGTAATGAGAATTTTTATTTATATCTTTTGCAATGTTGAAAAATTTAATATGGCATTAAGGTAACAAAAATGACAGTGTGCGTGTTAAGTGAAAGGCGGACGTTAAATAATATGAATTTATAAATATTGAATAAGAATATAATTATTATGTCAATCGAGTATAAATATTATTATATGCTTGATTGACTGACGACAAGGGAATCTAAAAGGCAATCGCCTTGTACAGAAATTGTGGAGTTATAAAAGTCAAACGTATAATCGGAATTCATCATACATGTCATGCATTTCTGCCAACAAGTAAAAGCGTTCCAAGATCAAACATATTCTTCTTAAAATGCTGCTCATTTCTTTCTTCGTGTTTTCTTATTGCAAGTTGATTAAATTAAAAAAGGGAAATAAAGAATATAAGAATATCTTATAAATTTCAATTGGTTTTTATAAAAATAAGAATTTTTCTTGCAACCATGAATTAGAGCAGGCTCAATTTATAATTAATTTTCCTTAATTTTCCTGGCTAATTTCGGAGAGTAAAAGCCTTTCAAACGAATTTTCGAATTAAAGAGCCACGCATGTTCTCATTAAAAGGAAGCAGAATACAAGCAGTACTTTTTTTAGATGAAAATAAACAAGCATTTTGGAGATTACATTTGAGCGGCCTCCAAGCACCAAGGTGTTTACATTTAATTTGTTTGTGAATCATAATAAAAAAGCTATAATTAAATTTTTTTTAATGAAACGAAAAAACTATTCAGCATGCCTCCTCTTCCCAAATGAAATCTGAGCTCGTCGTTGCAGATATATTATATTTTTGTTAAATTATTTTATTCAGATAAAAAACACGCCAAAAACCAGCACACATACGTTATTAAATCGTGAGCTGCAGTTTTCTCATTTTCAGGTTTAATTGGCAGTCTGATATTTGCTCTCGTGTTTGGTATCAATTTGGATTTGGGTGGGTTATCTTATTCGTGTTGAGAGCAAACAATGCAAACATGGAGCAAAACGCTTATTTGCTAATAATACATGGTGTTGTTTAATGTACAGCTTGCGTGGTGTTGCGATCGTGTGTAATTCGACCTTTGCTTTTGTGGCGGCAACAGCCTGATGTAACGCGAATCTTCAAAACATAGAGACATTGACTTTTCCCAGGCTTTTTCTCATTGATTGGGCATGGGGCCCACAACGGTCGCGATTAATGGTTCATTAACAACAAGGTTATAATATCTCTTTAATATCACATCAGAAGGCAAAAAGACATATTAAATTATGCAGTGCGTACCAATAATTATTCTATTTTTGTAGCATTGATTTCAAAAACCATGAAGTTCCAACATTTGCTTCATGATGTGGATCATCTTAAAGAAGAAATAAAATTTTCTAAAAAAAATTGTTAGTCATTTGGTAAAGACCGAGAAAAATACTTTAAAAATAATGATTCATGATAAATTTAAATTTTAAGTAGGGTTTTTCAGGTGTGCCAAAACGTGTGTAAAAAAATTGTTTTTCTGCTAATTTTGCTTCTTGTGTATTTTTTTCTGGCTCATGATTCATGATTCTCATGAAATATGGTTGCACAATGTAATCAAAACTGTTAGAACTGTCGGTTTTTTTTAAGCAGCCCGTTTTATCTAACTTCTCCTCAAATCCCAATTTCTTCAGTCAGTTCATTTCTTTGTTATGTTTACTCTGCTTTTTTAAAAGGACCATTCAGTGAGTTTTTTTTTCGGTTTAAGTTCCCTTAAATACAGTGCTGCAGTGTGGTGTTTCCACTCGCACTGCCAATCAAGAAATTCGATATTCTTAGTTAGCAAAATAGCGGCATATTCAGAAGTGCATGGTGTGCATAAATAGATATGCATAATCCAATTCATCCATCATGAACGCGTGCAATTGGTAAAACATTTATCCACCTTCAATACTAATGGATTAATGATGTGTCTGGCGTGGTTTCCTCTTTCTTGTGCCCTTGTTGCCGTAAGAGGCTTATTTTCATAATTCTCTTGCTGTCGTCGAGCACCAAGCATCGGAATGAAATACTATCTTCACGATTATAAACTAATTCTTCTCGTTTGGCAAGCAGTATAATATATTATATGTATGCTATGAGCAATCACCAGTTATTTTAAGTGTTGGCTGAAATTTCAGCCCCTAACAAGTGTCAATTTTCAAGAAAATCACCTCATATTCTTTAATTACTAACCACATTTAAATTTATGTAATTAGGACAGAAATCCAGAAATAAAGCATTTATAACAGTGTCTAAGCAGGTTTAGTTTATATATTTAGGCAAACATTTACTATATTTGAAGTAAAATTTAGATTACAATAGAATTAAAATATTTATAAATCGTTAAATTTGTTAAAATCAAGAAATATTTTTTTAAAAGTACAAAATTATTTTAATTTAATTTCTGTAATACAAAATATTTAATAATTTTGCTTTAAACTTTTTATCTGTTGTATTGTGAATTATATTTAATTGGTAGGGATTCTTAGCTTTTAATATTTATCATTTCAAAAATATACACAAAGTGCAAAGCGTGCAGTATTTTTATTATTGTGTTGGTTAATTAAGGTTCCCTAGCATGGGTAATGCGCGTAAAAAATTAACTTTGTTAAGCTTTGTATAGGTGATGAAATTCAATTTGCGGAGCAAATTTCAACGCTATTGATCTACAGCCTAGGATAACTTTTAACTGAGCATAATTTAATATATTTATTTTACCAAAATAGTTGATGTGGTTGGATGGTCTGACGCGGATTATTTGTGATTTAGCATTCAGCCAAATTTCCAATAATGATTGGATTTCCCGAGTTATCTAGTCATATAGTAAGCCGCATTGGCTACCAGTCGGTAAATTCCCAGCTTGCTCTAATACACTCTGCCTGCTTTCGGATAAAGAGATTTCCAAATTAAATAGCCACACTCATGGAATCGGCAGGCGCGCACCAAAATAAAAACGAGTGTGCCATGGCCGTTAGCCGATTTTTAGTCATTTTGACATCTTGTGTATGACCGTTTTGCAACCACGTTCAGTCTGATGTAAAATATAAATTAATATTTTCCTCTCATACTGTCAGTCAGTAACGGCTACCACTTTATTTAATGTCTTAAAAGGTTTTTGGAAATTATTCGTCAAAATATTGATCACCGTTTGAGGCGTTTGAGATGTTCCAAGAAAGAAAGTATTGCACTCACAATCAGAAGTAAGAAAGGCGATCAAACTGCTGCTAATGCTAATTCTGTGGAGTTTTTACGTCTCTTTTATAAATAAATATAAGATTCCCTTCAAAAATATAGAAAAAGTAAATGCTGATTTTATACTTATATGTCAGTTTTGTTCAATGAGAGGCAAGATGATTCCTTTTTGGTTTTAATTGAATTTCTCTTCACTTATTCTAGGCTTATGTCAATACGACATACGATGATGTCCTTTTTTCCTTGCAAAAATAGGGCTTTCAGCTTTCAGCAACACGTAATACTCTATGACGGAATGATTACTCACTCAACCGCGAATTTGCCAGACATATATGAAGACTAAATCTGGGCAGGAGTTGGGGTTTCTGGAATAAGCGGGATAAATCTTATTTGCGTTGCTATAGCTGTCAAAAAAAAAAAAAAAAATCATTCGCATGAGTCGGCTGAAGTGAGAGGTTTTATTGAGGTTTTATTGGCAAGGAGAGGAAATTATTAAATTTCAAATTTTTGACGGAAAATCAACAGAAGAAAATATTTTACTTTCAATAAATTAACGAGCTCGCATCTCTTTTGAAGTTTTAATTTCATTAAATGAAAACTGCTCTACCTCCGCAGTTCCTGTAGATCACTGTTTATTTTCCTGAGCAATAATAAATTAATCAAATTTAGACTGCGTTTTTGGCATCATTTATCCTTGATCAAAATCTGAGAAGAATTGGATGAAAAACCTTCAATTAGAATAATAATTTCTTAAAAATTTATTAGATCTCACTTAAATTTCGGAATTACAGCTTGGGGTGCTGTAAATCTCACAACTCTGAAATCTCTGCAAGATAAAATTTTGTATAAAATGAGCGCTCTAGAAAGCACAAGCAAACTATTGAAAATCAATATGAATTTTGGAATGTTTTACCGGCTGACAAAATTTTGGAAATAAACTTATTATGAGTTAAATATTTTGATTCGGACCATGGTGTGCTAAACACCCGTTAGCATAACACACGAATATTACAACAAAACCCTGTAATAGAACCAATGAGTGAAAACAAATATTTTGATAAAACTTCCCAGTTCATATGCCACGCTTGTGGAATTTATTACTTCTTCAATTAAAAAAATTTTCAAAGAAAACTGAAGAGATAAAAAAAAATTCTTGTCCATGACACACTTTTTTGTAATAATTATGTATTCTGTGTTAGTTGTACAGCAGGCGAGAAAATTGCTCGTCAGTTAACATGAGCACCGGCTGATAAGCTTTCAAGCTTGGCTCGGCTTTCGACTTGTATCATATTATGAAAAATTAATATCTAAATTTCCGCTCTAAAAATAAAAATTAATAAAAATCTGTATTCAAGTTCATTTTAGTACATACACACACGTACCTAACAAAACTAGCACTTTCATTACAAGCTGTTAAATTTTTCCTGGAATTGAACCTTAAAAATCGCATTCAGCTTACCAGGTTAAGGAGAAAAACGTTGGTGACGGTCCTCATTCGTCTGTTTTGCATCAAAGTGACGAGCACAAGCAAATTTCCAACCACCGAAAGTATGAAGATGATGGCGTACAGGGGCACAATCAATTCTGTTTCGAAGTCCGCTGCTTTTTTGACAGCGGCACTTGTGTTGTTAACATGAGTGACCATAGAAGAAAAGTTATACGTCGGCATTTTCAACTTCTAGAATATTCTCCTTTGAAAAATTTCTGCTTGAAAGGGTTTGTTTAGGGATGGCGATGCGACGTCGGCAAAGTCACAGACACTAATGGTCCTCGGACGCAGAGGATATGCGAGACCCGGTGGATTGGTTCGAGGCTGCGTGAGGGAGGCTGTGTAGTGCGCCTGCCTCTCGCTCGCGTTTCTCCTTTTCCGATCCCAAAAGGCATTGCAATTAAATGCTCTTGTGTGGAACAAAATTGTTAACATAGCGTCTTACTTAAAATGTTTGTTAACCGTTCAGATTTTAAATTATATAGAAGCACCCTTGTTTAGGGCTGCCTCGGCTGCAAGATGAGATAGTTCATTGTCTAGGTTCTTCCAATTTGATTAAAATAAAGTTTTGCTTGTCCTCTGATTGATCAGGGCAGAGATCACAAGACTTTGAAATTAATAATGAGTAATACCAAATTGAAATGTTAAAAAAAGATTATTTTTTATACTTTTAGAATATTTTAGTTTTGGGACGAATAATTTTGTAAATAATTGCGGTGAAGATTTTCTCATTTTCTCTCTCTCTAGTTTGAAAAAAATGGAAGTAATGAAATTATACGCATAATTTTATTTGTAAGGCAGTAAAAACTCAATTTCAACTAAATATATTTTCTTGGTAAAAGTTATAAAATAAATGATGATATTTATTTGGTAAATAATAATAAATTATTCTAGAAATAAATTTATATTCCATAGAAATATCAGCGTTTTAAATTTTACTCGACGATCATTTCCAGCATAATATCATCAGATTCTAAGAGATATGAAAAGGCGCTTTTCACTCACAATCAGATCCCACGCATTCACCATTAGTTCGGAGAAATCAGAACCAGTGAGATTTGAGGGTAAGTCTCCCTCCATAATACTGACGCTTTTCATCCTTATCTCCGCTTATATCAAAGGTAAATAATTAAATCCCTTTGCCGTAGTAAACTTTCAATGGAATTTCATATTCATGATGCTTTAATTGATGATGAAATTCACAACTCACTTTCAGAATTAATGAGTTTGCCTTTTGAATTTTTAAACAAAAAAATTAAATGCTGACAAATATGGTAAATAAATTATGATTTGGGAGAACTATGTTAGAAATTTAAATTTTGGTATTGAAAGCCATTTTTTTAAAACATTAATTGGGATTTTTCGCGCAGTGTCCACGTTAAATTTCTTTTTCAGAATACAGAAAGGGAAACCGTCCAGTATGGAAATAAATTTTGTTATCTCTCATGTTATCTAGTTCCATAATCCGATCCAATCCAAACTACGTCTTTCATATTTTTCAATACGCTTTCTCTCCATTGATTGAAAAACAAACTTTCCCAAAGATTCGCCGTCTTCTCACAGAAGCATTGACGCAAATGGCATGAGCCGACAAATAGTGTAGGCAACCGGCTTGACTCAACTGTTGAGCGTGGTGCATAGCTCAAGACACGAACTTGTTGAATTGGGTAATCACAGCATAATTGCTTTTTGGACTGAAGCTGAAGACATTTCCTGATTGTGAGTATTGATACTGAACTGAACCCCGAAATGAGTGGAAAGTTTCATAGATATATTAAATCTTAAGAATTCCTTTCATCAAATAACATAAATTATGTTAATTATATTGCTACTCGTAATTGAAGCTATTGGATATTGAAGGGTCTTTGTATGATTTTCATCAAAGGAAAAAAACAGTATTAATATTTTACAAATCTTGGGCATTAGCTTTTCGTGTTTTGTAATAGAATATTCTGAAAATCTCAATTTAAAGGTATACATTTTTTTGGCACCGATGACATGTTGGCGTTATGGGAGTGTAATAATTTGATAAGTTAATCCAGTAAAATTTAGAAGTTTAGTTTAGAAATGGAGATGAAATAATTATGCTATTAAAGCTTCAGCGCCACACTTCAAATTTATTTTTTCTGTGTGCATTATGAGAGCATAATATCAATTACGCCTACGCCTTCAGCTTCTGATATTCAGTTTAAAATGGGACTGAATGATTTGCATCAATCAGGATCTCTTGATGCGAAAACTTTTGATGAGCTGTGAAGCTGATGGCAAAAAATAGCATTGTACGTAATTTCAGCAACACTGCTTTTGCGTGGAAAAGGTCTTCATTGATTTTTATAAAGCATTAAAAACTTCAATAGCATTAGCTTTATTTAAGCTGAATTATAAATTTCCAATAGATTAATATATATGAATCCATTAGCTAATTTTATTTATCATTCAATACAAAAGACCATAGCCAATAAATTGGGAAATCAAAAGAAACAATTTTACGCGAATTCTTCAAAAAAATCCTTCAGGGCTCCAACATTGGCACACTGCTCTTCCTGAAGTTTTGGCTCAGCGTTGGGCCACTTGAGCAACGCTGGAATGGCTGAAAGCCGGAAGCGCGAGTCGGTGCGGAAAACGCACTTTTTGTCTTTCCACTCCTCCCTGCCCAGATACACAGTCACAAACACAGAGAACTCTGGAGCCAATTCGCGTGCAGCTTCTTCCAGTACTGGTTCGGCTGAAACAAAGCAAAATCTAACTTTGAACCAAAAGTAAATCACTGAAGCATATGTGCGAAAAATTTTTTTTCGTGTTGGAAATAAAAATTATTTAAAATAATTTAATTTCTTTGGTCAATAACATATTTCAATGCATTTCATTTCAAATTTCATAAAAAAAAAATATACATCATTTGCATTACTGCTCAAAAACTATTATGTAATTATTTCACCATGACGTGAGATTTCAAATTCAATTCATTTATTCTCTCGCAACAAGTCAAACAAAAAATAAAAAAATCACATTGGGAGAGAATTGGCAGCCAGCTCTAGTAAACAACTTACTAAAACTCATAGGCTCAATTTGGAAGCAAAAGTGTTTCCAACTTAAACCAACAAATTCATTTTCAAGAGATTTTTAAATCTTTGATAAAATTTGAAATAAAAGATAAATTTTTGAATAAATAAGTATGCACCTTTGACACAGTCTGGACACCAGGATTTTCCATTGTCATCCTTCGCTCCAGACACAATAACAAAAATTGGTTTTGGCTGGTCCTCAGGTGCACGCTGTCCATCAACAGCGATGGACATGTTATTGATTTCGGCCACAGCCCCCTCAAGCTCGTTGAGCGAAGTCACGTACTGATGAACCACCATTTCAAGCGCAACTTTTTCAGAATTTCTCTTTACCCTCAGCCGCAAAGAAAGTCATGTGACAAAACGTTTAATTTGAAAGATAAGGACAAGAAGTCTGCGCCGGTCGAACCCTAACAACGAAGCAACAAAACAATGCCACGCCCACCTGCCAGCTGGAAAGAAAACAACGTGTTTTGACAAATTTCGATCTGCGATTTCTGGGTCAAAAAGGTAATTTTCCAAGCGCTTTAGAATCTTGTTCGGCTCAGTTATTTAAAATATAAGTATTATGATGCGTACGAATAATTATATTTACCATTTTTGTAAGTTTTAATCAACTTTTTTTAGGATCTCGGAATTATTTATGTATATAGTTGTTTTAAAGTCATGTAGAAAATGAAAAATTTTCTTTCTTTGTTTTTAGATCCTCCAACATGACATATCTGAAATCGCTAGAGGAGTTTGAAAAGGCGGCCGAGAGATTATATTTGCAGAATCCAATGAAGGTACGTGAATAAAAATATAAATAAAAAGTCGAATGCAATTGAACCGATTATATTCATAAATTTTCAGGCAAGATACAACATTTCCTACAGACATAACAAAGGCCTTGTTTGCTTAAAGATGACAGATGACGTGACTGTGAGTGATTATTGATTTGTCTTAAGAAGGTAAATCTAATTAAGACAATTTTTAGTGTTTGCAGTACAAAACAGAGAACCAGCAGGAGCTGAGAAAGTTGGAAATATTCCTCAACAACTTGATGAGGCACATGGCTTCAAACGAAAATTGATCTTTACAAAGCTTTATTTTGTTATGCATTAAGAGAAAATTTGTTTAATCTTATGTAAGATACATTTCCATAATAAATTTTCAACTTTCTTTTTTGGTAATTGAAGCTCATCTGACATGTTGTGAATTCCTATATAAACGGGATTAAATTCAGTTTTTAATATATAATAATATAATATGTTGCTAAATTTTGAAAAAAAAAATTTCAGTATTAATCTAATTTAAAAACTTTGCGTTTGGATCTGGTTTGGATGGGCTTGAAATCAAAAACTGAATCAAACCTATTCTGAGGATTTAGTGGGCGGAACCAAAGTTTTTTAAAAATCCCACCAAAGAAAAGTGTTCTGATTGGCTGCATTGAAATAACCAGCCAATCGGGGCCCACGGCATGGTAGAATCATGCTTCAAGCTTTATCCGTCGAATGTCCTGTTGATCTTGAGTGAAAACCGGCATGTGGTAAGAAAATATCTTTTTGAATTCACTATTTTTTTACCTTACGTTTGTTTAAATCTATATCGAAATTCAACTCGATAAACTCCGATATTCAAACTTTCTATTTAACCTTTCGTTCTTCTGCGGAATCTTATCAAACGTGTTGAAAAAGGTGACCTAAGTTAACAATTTGATTTTTGATTCATGTGCCGTGTATATTATTGAGCACTGAATTTTTGATCAAGTACAACCAGTAAAAAAATATATTTTTGCAACCATAACTCACTTGATATCATTCTTTATTTTTCAGTCTGTAGATTGGAAAATTCATAGTTTGCAAGCATGCCAAAGTGCTCTAGGAAAAAAGGCAAACCTGAGAAGAAGGAGCCGCAGGAAGTTCAAGAGGAAACTCATTCGCTGCCTTTGGATGATGCGATAATATCTTCAACTCTATTGACATTCCTCAAAGATGCCACTGCAAAATTGCAGCAGCCAGATGCTGACCCACTGCCTGTCCTGAGAGTAAACTTTCATTTTTTTTTTAACTGAAACCCATATAATTAACTTTTAATTTCTGCAAAGGGCATTATTCAAAATTGTCCTCAACCTCTAAGTGGCGATGAAGCCAGGAATTTTGAAGAAGCGGCAATTGATGCTGTATTTGATCTCAGCAGAGTTCTCTTGGATTTTATCACCCTCAAAAGAGGTCCAGTGACCCAGGTTGCCTCTTTGGCTCTTTTCAACGTTATACCTGCAGTTGTTGGAGTGAAAAAAAGTGTTCAGTTTTTAGTTTCATCTACCAGCGCTCTCAGCAATATGTACACAAGTATATCTTATTTAATTTATTTTTAAGTATTGCTATCAATGAATTTTTTATAGAGCATTGGTCCAATGGCATGATACACTGGGGCAAGGCACCCAACTACGAGAACATGGATGAAAACACTGATTGCTACGCTCGTCTGCAAAGAATGCACTACCTGATGCGAATCCTCAACTGCCGCAAAGACATGTTGGAGCAGCAGACCAACGCACTTAGAGACCAACTTAAAAAGCATCAGATGTACCTGGCCGGTCCAAGTAGAGCTCGAAGCAAGCGAAGGTACCACAAACGAGAGATGGTCAGTGCCGAAGATTTTCATGAGTTTAAGTCATCTCTGAAAAAAGAGCCTGAGGACTTTGCGGAGTGCTTTTCAAAAATGCGTCTAGACAAGGGTGCGAAAAGCTGCAGACACGAGCTAGAGTGCCATTGCAAGGGCCCTGACGATGGATTCAAGGTCCAGTTCAAAAGGGTTAATTGTTAGTGAAAAACTTCATCTTAAAGTTTGGTGTAATTAAAGAATCAAATTTCAGCACCAGACATCATGCTAGAAATTTTTGAGAGTATTTTTGAAGACCCTTATGCTGTAATCAGGAAAGAGTTCAACTGGAACGAAGAGAACTTGGTTGAGCAGAGATACTGGCATAGTATTTTCTTGCAACTGCACTTAATCCACGGTGCAATGGAATCTCCATCATCAAGAGAAATATATGCTGATTCATATGAAGGTAAAATATTAAATTTTTTAAATGGTGACTAGTACTTTTATATTAATATCATTAAAATTTTCTTTTCCAGAGTGGTCGGCGTTTGCATGCTTCTTTAATGTGATCGAACGGTCACTATTGTGCCCTGCCACAAGGTACCATCCTTTGGCAGTAAAGAATTGGCACGGGTGGCTTGAAACTTGCATTTTCTTTGTCAGTGTACCAATGAGTGAGAAAATAAAGTTGCCTTCAGCAGTATTCCGTAATCAATATAAAATTCTAGAAACACACAACATCCGCCTGGCAGACGACGTTCTGAATGGTATCCGAAGATCAATGTGGATTTTGAATAGCAGTTTTTGGGACTCTGGCATTTTTTCCAAACTATTGGACCTGCATAACTTGTCAAAGTAAATTATTTTCATTTTATTTGAAACTTTTGCTTTTGACTAATAACTATAATTATTCTAGGATAGCTTTTGCTAACATAAAAAATCGCATAAAAGACCCGGAAATGCTGGATTTTGATTTTACTGAGGCTGTCTTGAGAGAATTACCTTGGAAAAACAAAAGAAAACTGCAAATACTGGCAAAGTTGATCCCTCACTGGCAGGATTTGGATGTAAATACTCTGAAGTTCATTGTCATTCAGTAATAACATTTGACCATTAGATCAAGAGAATTGTGAAAAAGAAGGGTGGCATGCCGAGTTTTGCTGCTAGTCTGGCGGAATCTTTGGAGTTTAATGAGTTGAGATCCTCTTGCTCCGACGTCTTCAGAGCTTGCTTGGAGAGATTGAGCAAAGAGCAGTTTGTAAGAGAATTTGTTCCAGTGATTGAGGCTAGCTTGGCCAACAGGAAGTAATTACAAAATTCATAATATCCTGACAGATTTACTAATATTTTTTTCACCAGCCATCACATGGGTTTGGTTAACTACTGGCTGCCTGCTTTGTCGAAGAAGTATCCAGATGTGGCTAAAAATCTGCAAGTGTTAGATTTGCATGCGCACATGGTTCTTCTGAATACGTTGCGGAAAGAAGGAGTGCTCACTTTGAAAGTATTTTCTTTAGTTTTTAATCTTCTCGAATTAAACAAAATACTGATAACCTAGGACCTATTGACTATTACTGATGAGAAAGGAGGCCGAGTCATTGACGCTGGTTTGCAAGCTGATGAGTTGCTGACCAGAAACCGAGCTCTAATCTCTCTCTGCGTGGGTTACAACTTTGTAGCCCAACTGATGGAAAAGCAGCAAACTTTAGAGACAGTGTTATATCTAGTAAAGGAATTCTTGAAGGACAATATCACTATTGCATCCCGGCCTTCTCGAAATATTTATATGGGCACCTTTCTAGTGTTCTTTGGCTGCTTACGGGACTTTTTGCTGCAGGGTAGGGCTTTTAATTAACAAATATAGAATTTTTATTTTCAATTTATTGCTGATTTCAGTCCTGAAGAATTCACCAAAAAAAGATTTTCTTCTGAGTGCAAACCAAAGCACTGCTCCTATCATGAGTTTCTTTAAGTGGCTCAGAGATTTTATCCTTGCTGGTATCGAACTAGGATTCAGCTACCAAAGAACATACACATCTCTGTATCTCTATGAAAATGTGCTCTGTGCTTTTGTGCCTCCGGAGAACAGCCTAAAGGTGTGATTAATTTTGCAAAGATAAAAATTCTATCTCATTAATTATTTGAAATACAGGCAAAGACAGAAAAACTAATTAAAGTCATGCAGTCGGAGGGATGCTTTTTATTTCTTGACTCTGAAATGTTTGAAGCCACTCTAAAATGCAGCCTCTCTCCTGATGATGATGTCCAAGTGATGTCTAGTTACATCCTTGCTTCACAGCGAGGTAAGCTATAATTAAACTTTTGCTCTTTGTATTAACAAAAAAATACTTAAGATTTTGACATGTCTGCTGTTTCTCTTCCTGGTGTCTCCAAGGAAGCCCTTCTTTTGTGCAGTTCCAACAAGTTTTATGTCGTGTCTGGAGGGGCTCAATTATTTGCTACAGTTGCAAAAATCACTAAAACTCCAATAGAGGAAGCATTGAATTTGCTTCTCCAACAAGCCCTCTCTGAATTTGTAAGCATATTTTGTTTTTTTCCACATAATTAATTTACATTTGAAATTCAAGTCCATCCTCAAAGGTGATCTTTTAAAAGGGGCTCTTGAAAATGGACCAATATATGGCTGCTTAGATGCAGTTTCTCACATATTTAACCTAGAAAAGAAGCCAGATGTGTCCCAAGAGTGCCTAGTTAACATTCTTAGTCTAATCGAAGAAGTGACGGATCACTTTTTGAAAGTGATGAATGCCAAATCTTCAACACAAGGTATGATAGCAAGGAAAATTTATTTGATTATCCTTTTTAAAATGACTTTGGTTGTAGAGTTTGCATCATCCTTTGAAGACATGGATTGGTCTATAGAGGCAGAAATCGATGAGAACTACTCTTTGGATAGCAAGTCCCTCCATTTGACACCTCAGTTCCAGTATGCTTTAAACTGTGCTTGGCTCAACCTCAAAGTAAGCTACCTTTTATCCTACTAAAGTCAATTTTTAACATTTTGCATTTTTAGACGTGCACTGAGCTTGTTTCCCAGCTTGGATATTTGTTCTGCGTACAAAATGCATCGGACGAAATTTTGTGGCGCTGCAGCATGGTGATTATGAATGTATTGCAAAAGTGCAGGCACAAAGGTGCATTTGAAGCATCAGGGCTTGTTCTGGGAAACTTTGTCAAGAATACTTCCATCTTAGGTTAAAAATCCAGCTTTTTTATTTATTAATTTAATCAATCATTTTAATTATAATATGCAGGAAAGGACATTCCCAAGAAAATGCTAGATAAATTAATGTCCACCTTATGCATGACTGGCTCTGATGCTCCTCCTCTGAGTCGTAGATCTGCTGGACTGGCAGTCGCGATTCAAAAAATTGTAGCGTCAGATACTGACCAAGAGAAAGAACTTCTTCATGATACTATTGAGAAACTCCTTGCTCCAACTGATGACTCAAAGGGTGGAAATGAAACAGAGGATGGAAGTAAAGTGACTGCGTTAGTGGACAGTGTGAAGACAAGAAAGATGCATGTTTTGTATACACTGGTCTCGGATGCAAGTATTGGTCAGCACATAAACTGCCACTTGGAGAATATTGCGCAGATGGCAATATACTTTTTAAATGCTGATGACTGGGGAGTAAAGTAAGTGTCTTCAAATAAGATAATTTTAATTAGTTGGTTAATTTTCGACTTTCTCAGGAATGCCGCTATGCAACTTTTTGGCGCATTTGTCAAGAAAATTGTGTCTCAGAGAAAATCGAAGCCTTTGAAGGAGGATGAGTTCAATCCTGAGTGCATCATGGTTTTGGCTTCCGAGCAGGAAGAGGCGGATTGGGACATGATGGGTAATGGACTCTTGGAAGATGTTTTTGTCCGGTCCTCTTACCTACTTACCCAAGTCCTGGCCATCATAAAATATCCCCCGACACTACCGGAAGAAGGTAAAAATTAAAAATTAAATCAATCTTTTTTTCAACTGAAAAATACTGGTAATTATTTGTTGTTTAAATTTTAGGCCAAACTTTGTGCACCCAGATGGTGCCCTGCTGCAATGTGCCAGATGAGGGTGTCATTTGTGCCATCCTTGGCTTTTTGCAGCACTTAACACCTGGGCCACCCTCCATGTGGACTGCAGACCAAGGTCAGTTGGTCAACGACATCTGCTACTACTGCTGGCAGCTTTTGGAGCACCCAAATTGGCTGGTACGAAAACAAGCTGCAGAGTGTGCTACCGCAATGGTCAACAAGAGCCATGTTGCCTCCACCCTGAAAACAATTCTCGATGAACTGGACCGAGCGTCACCCAACAAGCTGCATGGATTCCTCTTGATGGTGACAAAAATTAAAAAGAAAATTGCATTCTTCCGAGAGGACACCAAAAAGCTAGAGGCCACTATCAAAGAGATTGACGCAAAAATCACCTCCAGACTGTTGGTTGACTTGGCAGATGGAAAACAGCAAACTCACTGCATTGCCTACTCTTACGCCACTATTGAAGGTCTGCAGAAGGATGACCTGCTGCAAATGCTGATCTATTTAGCTGAAATGCATGATATGATGGCCATAGAGAAACACTGTCACATGCTGTTTGCTTTGGAAATGGTCGAGCAGGTTGTTAGTCAGCACCAAGAATGGCTTCCAGAAATCCTTGCTCTATGTTCGTCCTACTCGACTCTTGTTTGCGTCCAAGAACACTTATTGCACTTATTGACTAAATCCAACTTTGAGTCTGAGGCCATTGCAGAACAGCTTGAAGTTGTCCTTGAATACAATCTTGACATCAACAGCTGCAAGCATAACTTGGTCAGCATCTTGAGGCCACTCTTGATGTGGAAAAGAAGAATCTGGAGTAAATATTTGATGGATTCAAAGGTGGAAAAAATTTGGTTCGGAACTTTTGAAAAATTGACTTATTTTTCCAACCATGGTTGCCATATTAAAATTCATAGGTAATTTTCAAGTTAACAGCTTTAAATCTTAAATTATGATCATATGTTATTTGTAGGCTTCTTTCTGAAGGAGCAATAGTTGGAGATGAGTTTGAATCTTTGGCCCTGACTTTCCTAGCCTACTCGACCATGGAATTATTGGTTAGCGGACAGAGGGCTGATGCACGAAAGCTTTTAACTACCCTGGTTGAGCACTTGCTCAAAACGGCAGAAAACAGAAATGTCCCTGAGATTTCAATGATTGGCCCTGCTCTTCGTGTGATTAGTCCAGCTACGTGGGAGTTGTTCAGCATTGTCTCCAACGTAAGTGTCATTTTGAATAAAAATGTCATATTTTCCTCATACAATTTTTACAGTATCCAGACATGATATTGGTAGGAAAGACAGTATTAAAACTGACTCACATGCTTCTCTTACAACAAAACCTTGAAGCTGCTAAGAGCATTTGGCCTATGAGGTCAAAAGAGCATAATTACTGCATTATCGGTCCCAGCACATGTTTGCGCAAACTTTATGAGGTGGCACTTGAAAACTTACTTCCAGTATCTGCACTTGAAGAGTATTTATGGGAAATTTTAGCCATAAACTCGGATACATTGATCAGCATATTTCAAGAAGGTTGGTATTATATGTGTTAACAAACTATTGATTTTTAATTTTTTTTTCGTAAAAGGAATCACTAGCCCGTTCAGTCATGTTGATGAAGTGGAGCTCGACTTCTTCGAACACATCACTGAAGGATTTGTCTGCATCTGCAAAGCAACCAAATGCAAAATGACTGGCAAAGGCGTGCCATCTCCTGATGAAATGGAAAGCGACGAGAAAATTGTTAGTGAAGCATTGGAGAAGATTGAAAGTTCATTTAAAGGTTGCATATTTAAATAATTTAAATTTTTTTTTTTTTATTAATTTGCCAATATAATTGCAGGAAAACAAAAGCAACTTCACTTGAGTGTGATTGTCGCTAAAAAGAAATTGTGCCTCAAAGTGTTCATCCTTGAGAAATTTTACTCAAGACAAATGACTGATGTCATCCTCGAAGGAAAAAGTTTCAAAGACTTGTCTAAACTATTTGGAATTTAGATGCTTCTCAAGTCCAAAAGGAGATAAATAACAATAAAAATCACGTTCTTTCTAAATGAAAACTTTTATAACTATTTTTAAATATGAACCAAACTACTTTTTAGGCTTGGGTGGGCAACACTTCTCCATGTGAGCAACAGTAGAGATGATCCTGTCGGCTTCGCGGACTCCACTTAACTGCGCGCCGTGCAAGGTTCCAAGATGGGCTTCGTTGGTAGCCTCGCCAGCAAACATGACCACAGGTCGGTCTGCATCGTCTTCCTCGCACATGGGCTGGGCCAAAGTCTTGATGTGCTCGGGTCGAGCGCTGACGCTCAGGAAAGTGGAGCTGCCAAGGAAGTCGGGGTCGCCACACCAGGCAGAACGCACCACCCTGACAGGCTCAGGAATCAAAGGGTTGCCTGTGTGCTGACGCAGCAGCCGTGTTACATCCTCAATGACCTGCTCGTCACTGAGCTCCTCAAGTTGGACTGCGCCAGGTCCGGTAACAAGGCCATGCAGAACTCTAGAGTTGCCCGACAGCTCCTTGAGACTCGTCAAACATTCGAACCACTGGTCTGGCTCAGGTGGACCGTTCTTCTTGTGTTGCTGTTTGCTGAATGCAAGTTGCACCACTTCTCCTCCAGTACTGGGTACCCAAAAGGGCTTTTCGAACTCCAGGCAGAGCACATTGGAGCGACCAATACCCAGCTTGCTGATGGCATCCAGTTTCTTTCGAGGGATGTTGGGCAGCAGTCGTAGGGCGTGCTGTTTGAGGACGCCCAATGGAAGGGTGAAGAGCACAAAGTCAGCCGGCACGACCTCTCCTGAGCAGCAAACAACCTTGGCCGGTGCTGGGTCGTCAGGCTCGAGGGTGCTGCCCCAGCGAACGGTGCACACAGGGTGATCTAATTTGAGGCTGTTGGCGGGCAGGTCACGGAGAAGAGGAGAGATCAATGAAACTCCTCCTTCGGGGAAACTCATTTGACCCCCAGGAATGATGGAGTGCGTCTGAAATTTTAATCAAAGTATGTTTAATTAGGTACATCAAAATGCCTAAAGCTATATGAGAGGTTTTATATAAATTTTTATGTTCAGCAATTGCCTGATTAATATATTTTTCAAATTTTTAGCTTTTAATTTTAAAGTTGTTAAAAATTTAATGACAAATTGTAACTTTCTATTAAAAAAAAAATCATTTATGAACATAAATTAGAGCCTATGGAGGGATTGACCACAAATTTTCTATTGATGATGTTCATTAATATTATTTTCCCCCTGAAATTGTTTTAAATCTGTTGGTAAAATGTACCTGAATGTGCTCGGAACTGACGAGCTGCAAATCCTCCCCGACGATGCCTCTCAGGGCAAGCATCAGAGCTTCCTGGACGCGTTTTGCGTCTTCCTGTTCGTGACTCTCCACTGTAATCACTTCATTCTTGAGGGCTCGTTGAAGACCGTCGTGCAGAGATGTGTTGGCCGTTGGTCTCACTTTGGCCAGCGCATTTGCAAACGCAGTTCTGGCGGCGTCCACGACGTTGGGTGCGATGGAGCGCCCGTCAGATGCGTAAATGTGGCCAAAGGCAGCCTGCAGACGAGGTTTTGGTCCCTTAATCAACTCCTCCCTGGCCGCCAAGGTGACGGCGCTGTTGGCCAAGTTGGCATCTTCAAATTGCTGCGCGCCGAGCTCCAGCACACTGCCTCCGATCAAACTAGTGCTCACGCGACCTCCAGCCCTGTTAAAAATGTCGAGAAATTAGAAAATAAAATTTCTTTTGAAATAAAATACCTGTTTGAGGCTTCAAGGATTGTGATTTTCTTGAAGCCGTACTTAGCAAGTCTCTGAGCAGCGGACAAGCCTGCGATTCCAGCACCCAAAATCACAACTTTTTGCGTCTCTTTGTACGGAAGCCTTGTTGGCTTCCGCGGATCATCTCCTGCTGCTGATTCATTTTTCTGTCTGAAAATTCACCAGTTTAAAACGCAAGCGCTACAAGAATTTTTTTTGAAAAAACAAAAGTTCTTTAAAACTAAATAAAAGGGAAAACACTTTATAACCTCTTGGAGAAATGAATGCAGAGATTTGCTTGGCTGACTCTCAGACGGCAAACCCGAGAAGCCAGCAACATTTTGCTTGCGAATTTCTACTCAATTCAAGAATCAACGGCCACTGGTGAATTTCAAAGTTTGAATTTGTTGAGGTATTATTGAAATGCCAAACAAAATCACATAATATCAACAATGAAAAATATTTTGACAGTTGAACAATGGAGAAATTTTAATATGGAGATGGGGTATTGTTTAGAGATCACGCAAAAGATTGTGTGTGTCCAAAAATAACCAAAATAACGACATTTTTTCAAAGTTAATTATACCTTTACTATGCAATTTAATTTTTTTTAATTTCTTTATAAGGCTTCGGTTTTTAAATATGTGCCATAAGTGGTGTAGTTTTTTTAAAAAAATTTTTTGGCCTATAGTTTTATTTCTTGCTTTAACTTATTATAATAGATGCTTAGAATTACAATGTATTTATTTCTTAATAATCTTGCATTACTTTGGGCAGCTTCAACAACCTTTTGATTTTGATAAGGAACAATATTTTTCTTTTAATTTATTTCTCCACATTAGAAACTTATAATTTTATTAAGTACATATATAATTATGCAATTATTATACAATTAAAGCAATTTTCACTTTCTTAATTAGCTTTATAAATAAAATGATAAATAATTTATGTCTCGACATACAGAAAAAGAAAGGCTGGTTGTTATTTTTTTCTAAGCAGATAATTAGAAGTTAAAATATAATTTTCAACAATTTTTATATGATGAAATATTACATTAAAAATTTTCATCGATTTACCACAGAAGAGATTTTAGTTTGGCTGCCCACCTTTTATAACACAAGTTTGCGTCGGATTTGCGTGAAAACAACTTGCTGATTATCTACTTTTACCATTAGGGCTAGGTCCGCTCTAGCCGGTTTGTAACTTGCAGAACAACTCTGATATTTGGCACAGATAAAAAACATCTCTTTTTTTCAATCGACAGTCACATTTACGTTGGACCCAGAAAAAAAGGATGCTGGCCTTACTTTTTATGAGAACCACTAAAGAGACGAGAAATTTGAAAATCGTTATGAGGCGCCGGGTCTATCTTGGGGTCACAATAAATTTAGTTACAGCAAAGGCGCCATTCTTTAAAACCATTTAGACCCAGTGCTTGATCTTAATTATGTTCCTAATTAATCCTGTTTAATTTTTTGTTTCCGTTTCTTTTGCATGATTTATACCACGATTGATCTTGTGATAAATTGTAATCAATCACAGTACAAACAAGGCACATAATACATTTTTATCTTTATAAACCGGACAGTTCTCAGACACGCCCTATAGGATTTAAACATAATGATACATTTACAAACCACGAAAGCAGCTATCGCTTTGTAGCTCCTGGAGTTTGCTTACAGCAAATAATGAAGTATTTCTGTGAAATAAAAATAAAACGCAGAACAAAACGGATGGACTAGCATAATTATTTTTTAGGTATTATATTGTATTTATATAAATTCAAGAATTTTCACAGTGGGTAATAATTTTTTTTGGGTAATATTTTGTAACTTTTTTGTGCATAACACACTCCTCATCGAATACCAGATATTTATCTCTGTGATTTAGATTTATGACTTTATCTTTTCTCAACTATGTAGAGGCTCCTTTTGCAATTATAAACGACCAAATATTAGTTGCGAAATTTTTCTATTACCATAACACCACAATCAATTAGCCAAAATCTTCGATTCATTAATTATATGTCTAGCACCAACAGCCTGAGGAAACCTGAAATTAACTGCCTATCTCTATAATATTCTTGTTAGCAAACTTCACAGCTATAGGCCACTGAAATTGAGGAGACGCTAAAAAGAAACAAGCGGCTTGTCACATTCAAAGCGCAGTGTCCGCGAGGCATAAGAGCGAGTTTTCGCCTACGATCCCGCTACATTTCACTGCCCTTGATGTTTTTCGTAAACAATTTAGCTAAAGACAAAGATGATAACATTCATTCATAGGTCATAGGTAAAAAATTTGTTGTTGCCTTTCTTGTTTTTCTGAAGACACTTCTAAACATTTAAATATCAACAACTCTTGGAGACATTTTTATTTCCACTCCATCGCCCATATCGCTTTGAAAGTCAAATAGCTTGATCGTTAGACTAAATATCAACAACTCGTTTGCAAACTAAAAACGGCCATTAAATTTTATGTGGGTATCTAAGCACAAACCCAAAACACAATGTACTTGATTTGCCCAAGGGACATTTTTTTCCATGAATTTCCTCCTATTTATAATATCAATTTTTTCTCGCATAAAAAAACTTGCGAGAGAGTTTCTCTATAATTATCCTCTTTTTAGAGCTAGTTTGCACATTTAAAAGTTTATAATGGTATGATAATTATGCGCTGATAGTACTACAAACTACACAGTTAAAAAAAAAGAAACAGGAAAACAAGTTACATGAGCTATCAAAGCTCATACAAAATATTAAGCGATCTTATGCAAGTCCCCCTGTTGTTGAGTTGCTTGCAAAAAGCGTCTGGGTTGTCTCGGCTAACAAAAAAGAAAAAAAAATGAGGAAGTAGCATGCAATGTCTCACTCAGCTTCTATGAAAAGTGGTTCTTGAAAATATAGGTTATTGCTTTCGATCTGACTAGCTCAAAAAATGTGGCTGGCCTGAAAATGCTTTTTTTTTTTTTTTTTTTTTTTTTTGCTAGAGAGTCTATCAAAATCATTTGGGTAGATGGTGAAGCGCGATAGTGAAATCTCCTACGAGATGTGGAAACATTAAGGAGTGTAAAATTTCGTTGTTTGTAAAATTTCATAATATTTTTACGTGATATAATGATAAAACTTATATAGCATGATACTAATTAAAATGAAAACCCTATACTACTGCTGGAATAAATCGAATAAATTGTTTCAATTACTATCAAAGATTGTTAATTAAAATAATTTTTAGTTGAAAGTTTCAAAGAGTTATTTTTAAATATTTCTCAATTCATTAAAAATCAAATTTGTAATAAATTCAAATTATATATAATTATGCTGTTATGGGCAGCAATGGCCTTTGAGATAGATCACAATTTGTAACTAAAAATTACGTGATATTTAAGAAAAAATAAATTTGTAAATCAATTTTATTTAACTACTGGTAAATTAAAAATAAAATGGTAGGATTTTGTTCGTTAAAAGAAATGAAATTGGAAGAAACTTTCAAAAAGTGAAAATTTGAATTTTATTGCTGAATTTCAGTTGTGCTAAAAGTTATAATAAAATTAACATTATATATTGTCGGTATAGGAAATAGTGGTTATACTTGGAAAGCTTATCTGGGGAGTGGAACAAAGACGTGGATAAATGTGGTGTTTTATCAAAGCTTCATGCAGTTGGAAAGTTAAGAATTTCAAAAATTTGTATTTGTTTTATAACATGTGTATATTTTTATAACATTTAAAATTATTTGCCAATACAAAAAACCATTTTTGTCAAAAATATGTTACTCCATACATACAAAATGTAGATGAAATAAAAAATAATAATATAGATAATATAATTTATCACAAATGTCATGAAGAGAAAAACTATATTCAAATATATGAAAATACCAATGGAACTAATTAATATTTATTTACTTGTCTAAGATCAAACATGAGGGATGACAGTGTATTAGAAATTAGTATTATACACCCTGTAAAATATTTAGTAAACAAGACATCGAGGAGACCAGCAAAGTTTAAAAATAAAATAGCAACCATACTGCAACACAAAGATGTCCATCATGGATGACAAATATCTGGAATATATTACCCACGGGTCTAGACATTTTCTTTAAAGACTTTGATGCTGACTTCCTGTTTGTCAAGGTTCTGCTCATCTACAAATAAAAAAATAGCCTACTATAATATATATCTCGTCGAATAAAAAAAATTTTATTAGCAAAGCGAACGGGTTTAATTAATACAGCAAAATTGGTCATACGGGTTTTGAAAAAGCAAGTGGCCGCTATCACACTCCGCACTTTCTGTAGAGAAATAAATAAACACTAACGAGCCATTTCCCCATTGCTGATTTCTTTCCTCGATTTTGCTAATAGGTTGTTTAATCAACCCAATGAACTTGATTATGTGACATTCTCAGACAAGCAAAGAAAGTTGGCCTTGAGACTTTCTCGATGGTGTGTAAAAATGTGGCTTAACAGCGGGTCATCAATTTACAAATAGAAAAATTGAAAAACCTTTTTCCAAACATAGCAATTTACACCATTTAATTAAACTGTTTTATTAAATAACTGATGGAGAAAGTCGTCGCCACAAAAAAAATGCATTTTAAATAATCAATTGCTTAAACAACAAGAGCTAAAAATGCAATGGAGATTTAAAACGATTTTTTTTTCTGAACTTCAGAACAGCTTCAGAATACTCTATAATAAACAGGAAAAAATCACAATCGCTGCATATGTTGGGAAAATTTAAGCCCCAACATAATATCACCTTTTTCATTGAAAAAAGAAAAAAACACAGCAAAACTAGATTTTCTAATTAATCGTTGTTTGACACGCTTTTTATAATCAGTAAGGAAGTTAGATTAAAAAAGTTATTTATATCAGGGCTTCATGCAGCTGCATGATTATTTATGCTACGATTAGATTATGGTAAAAATAAACGCGCATTATCAGATACATGTATATACTTTTTACTGAAAGCTGATAAATTTATAAAATAAAATAAGTCCTAAAATGTTGAAATAAATCATTTCCGACTGTGACGGCTGGTGAGGCTGGTGATTCGTTCCTTTTGCAGTAAGTAAATTAAAATTATATATATATGGAGAAGATATTTCTGCCATGATTAATAGTAATTTTTTTATATTAACTTTAAATTTAGAACATGAAAAACAAATATATAAATTTCATAATTTGATCAAATTTAAATACAAATCATTTTATCTACTTCTAGGCCATGCCTAAATTTTTGCGCATATATGGTGAAAAAACTTTAGCAGAATATTTTTATAACTGTTCTGCTTGAAGTGCAGAAAAATAATTGATTATTTGAGTCACAAAATGAATAAAAAAAGCCGTGGTTAGAAAAACTAATTTAAAAAAATGCTGACTCTTATATTTAAATTTGCAGGTGATGCTGAAATTGAAACTTTGGCTGAGAGCCGTGCTAGCCTTGATGCTAGTATTGGCGATTTTTGACCCGGCTAATGCTGCTGACGATGACGACGATGATGATGGTGACAGCAGTTCGCAGTCATGGAACAACAAGCAGTGCACCATTGCCAACGAGCAAAAGCCATCCTACTTGTTGTACTTGCGGTCCTTTTCCAAGGGCTACGCTGTTGGCTACAAGGAATTTAACTCAAAAAATATAAAAAAGTCCAAGTGGATCATCACTCCGGTCATCTTCGGAGACAAAACCTATTATGAGATCAAAGACGTTTACGGCAAAGGCGTTTGGGGACCAATTGGCTCAAACGTGTACTCTTCTTCCCAGAGCTTCAGCAGGAGCGAAAAAGTATCCACACTGTGGACCATCGACCCACCCAAGCCAAATGTTGCCGTCACCATCAAGTTGGAGCGCAAAGGATATCTCGAGCTGCCTCAAAGCGGAAGCAACAAAAATGCCAGATTGTCGAAAGAGTCCATGACAAAGTGGATTATCAAATGCAAATAGACCAAAATACGTTGAAATGGCTAAACAAAAAATTTGTCGAACTTAAAACCACAAGCTTGCGGTAGAAAATTCTGTAGATCTCACAAAATAATCAGAAATCCAATATTTAATCTATTTTTAACTCTTAAACACACTTCGTATTTCCTGTTGCTTTCAATATGAGAGTGGAAAAAATATTGTAATTCATTCCAATCATTTTTATATAGCATTATTTAAATGTTTCAATAAATCTTTTGCTGGTTGCCCTCATAAGCATTTTAATTTGATTGAAGTGAAATATTTAAAACACGAATTTAGTAGTATGATTATTATACGCATATCTTTAAGGTGTAAAAACCGCATATTATGCGTGCAGGCCTAGCGCGTTAGAGCTATACCTCTTTTAAACGTCTTGTAAACGTGCGTGTAAAAGAAGGGCAGCTCTACACCGTGAACGAATACACCAACCATGTTGACGGGGAAAGTTTTTCCTTTTTTTATTTACCCAGCGAACAGAAAATATTTTTAATTTGATTTCGATGTTATTGAACAGTACATCATTCTCCCTAAATATTTCTAGGGAAACTGTGGTGCAAGGAGAACACACAATTATTCAACACGCAAAACATAAAATTATGGTATCTAACCATAATTCCAAACAGAGGAAAAAATTGCAGTTCCAGCACAAAAGTTTAAAAAAAAAAACAACAAATGAAAAAAAAATCTTTTTCATCTTCAACTTGCAAACATTAAAAATAAACACAACAAATTCAAATTAAAATTACGAAGTTTAACTCCTTTTAACACCAAAATTTCAAAATCTGACCTTCGACAACCCCAACCCAAATCCAACCATCCTTTCTTAATCCTTTTTCTTTCGTTTTAAGTTTTCAGCTTTGTTCGTCATCATATGCCAGCAAAAATGATGATTTTTAAATAATGTTGAGTCCCAACACAAAATTTAAAATTGGGTGATGCCTTCTGCACCACTAATAAAGGGCACAGGCTGAAAACACTTTATCTTGGCCTGGACCCTAAAAAATAAAAATAAAATCAATCATGCGATCTTTTATTCTCACGGCAATATTACTCGATGTGACCATTTCAATCGCTTATTTGATTTTAAATAATTATTATACATGGAGTGAAATCCTTATAGTGGTGGCTAGTCTTACTCCTTTTTCTCCAATCAAGTGATTTCTGCCAAACAGCCAAATTAGGAGTTAGCACACATTCTGGTTTTGCCGTTCAAAATTATTTTGTGTAACAATCGACTTCAAATTTCATAGCCGCAAGGGTTTCCTTTGTGCCTAGGAACATTTTCACGGCTGCGCTTTTTTTTACATTTTTTCGCACTCAATCGGCACGTTGGGTTATTCAATTTATAAGGATATTGAGAAATCTATGTTCATTTCAACACACATCATGTTTTGAGTGCGATTGATGCATCCCATAAAGAAACACACTTTAAGTATTATAATCAAGCACCATAAATTTGAAGCCAATAGCCTGATCGCGGATTATTTCACAAAAAGAGCGGCTGAAAAACCAACAAAACCAGTTTTGCTCTTCGTTCTCAGCGTTTTGATTAGGATGATTCAGAATGCGCTGACAGGCATCAGGTAAAAAGCTTGTTAGCCGCGGTATGTCAGTCAGCTAGAGGCAAAAACAAACGACCAGTCATAAAAGTTACTAATTTCTTAATAGAAATGAGATTTGTTTTTGTTCATACAATATTAACAAATCTGTAAACATTGAGAAGAATAGTATATTTTTCACCAAAATGGGAACGCCATCTAATTGCGATTCACTGATTTCAGTTATTACTTTTGCAATGGAGTGATTATTATTTATTTTTCTCTATCAAATATGTTTTAATTTTTTTGAAATAAAGAAAGGGAGAGAGAAAGGGTATCACAACTAGGAGATGTCTGCTAAAAACCCCATTATATTACAAACAAACAAAATAATAAGGCCACCGCGGTAAATCCACATGATAACAGAAACGATAGAAAATTTCATTTACTTTGGTAGCTAATTTAGTGCTTTTTCTTAATAATTATTGTAACACGCACATAATAGTAAAAATTGTAAACCTGTACAACAGGAGGATGTGTTTTTAAGTTTAAGAGATTCCCTTCATTTAATACATCAATGTATAATTTTTTTCTTAGAATATTAGAGCTTGAGGAGAAATCACGCGGGCATCAATTTTTTTAGACAAGGCGCATTTTATGACTTCACTCTTTTAAGAGGTAAGAAAGTTGTTGCGCGCAATTGGGCAGCGCAGATCACATTTTCTGACTAGGCCACGTTATAAATAATTACATCTTATGGGAAGAAGGGATTCATTCAGTCTCACGATCAACTGCCAAAGTACTGCCAAATATAAGAAGAGCATGAGAGCAGTTACTTTAATATTGATGCGCCGGTGTCTTCGCCTCGCCAATAATGATCAGCAAAAATTCGGCCGTTAAGACCGTTAAGAAAAGCACCGCGAACGAAGAGCAACTCCAGAAAAGAGCGGGAAAAAACCCAAAATTTTGGCACACTTACTTTTTAAGGGACCAATCGCGAATTGGCTAGGTTTAAACAACTATGGTGGCGGCGGTGGATTTGGTGGGAACCCTTAGAACAGCGCAGAACAGCGGAAATAATTTTTTACTTAATTATGTTTAATCTGTCTGTACTGAATATTATCATTCTGTGTGTTTTCATATTATAAATAATTCTTTCTCAAATAAATGTTTTAAACAATTGTATGTAAAAAATGTGATGTTACAATTTGGATAAATATACAATAATAATAATAAAGTATTTCCTAAAGTTTGAAATTGCAAGTTTCTTTTTCAATGACGCTTTTAATTGCATCTAGGGTATGTAAAATAAAAATTATAGTAAGTATAAAAAAAAATTAAGAATGCGCGCATGCTTTAAAAACAACAATTTTATCTTTGTAATTATAATGAACCCCCTATTTGCAAATAAGTTAGAAAATAATGCTCAGATATATCATAAGAAAATATGCTGGGTCAAATCAAAGGCCCGCCTCTTGATTCGAGTTCAACTGCAACTTTGTAGTGAAAATGTAGATCAAAGAAATTGATAACAATAGTCATTTGCACTAGTGATTTGGCGCAAAATGAGGCAACTTTATGTAATCTGAAAATAAAAGCTGAAATAAAATTAAGAAAGCAGCTCCAGATGATGAAGGAGGGGATTTTACAAGGAATCAGATTTTCATAAAAGATCGATTGAGAAGAAAATGATATTATATTCAGCAATAGTTAGTTATTCCTGTCACTGAATGTTAAAATTTACACATTCCTGACGTTTTATCAGAAAAATCAATTATATCTGTGCTTTGAGCTGAATAACGATTGAACAATTTATATAAAAAAGTATTCACAAGAGTTGTTCTTTAAAAAAATTCAAATGCCGTCTTGCTAGGAATAAATTATACTTAAAAAAGATGTGCAAATGTTCTTTAATTCTAAATAAAGAATAAACATTAAAAATGTTAAAATAAAACTTTGCAATTTGCAAAACTTGCAAGTTTAAAAATAAGTTATTTTCTAATAAATTAAAAAAAAAATTTGAAATGCTAACAGGCATGGTCAATATATCTGTTGCCACATTTTTATGGGCAAAGGACTTTAAGAAATGGAAAGTGTGCTACTCTCTGCTGCAAATTCAGCCATTTCACAAGCGGTTGAACAAAATAGGAACTCTAGCATTTGCAAACAGGTTTAATTTGATCCAATGGTGGGTTTCCACCGACTTTGCACGTAGTATTATTGGCTTGGTATTTTTACACCACGAAAAAGTGTCTTGCTTTTTAAAAATCTTGCGTAAATCACAACTTGCTTATTGGCAGCGCAACAATGGTAATTTTTGTTTGGAGCCGCCAGTTACGTGTGCGAATGGCCAATAAGGTCCCGCGCGTCTGTCTGAGAGTGAGAGAAAGGATTAAGTAACACTCCCCAGAAGACGACGAATATTTTTTTCCTAGATTAAAACTATCTCCATTTTTTTTTAGCAATTTTTCTGCTCGTGCAATTTTTCGTGGCAATGGGGGTATGCCGATGGTTATATAAGTCTGCGGAACACACCTTCGTCGAGAATAGTTTTGCCACCTTTCGCCTCATGTGATTGTATATTCCACACTCGGCATGAAAGTGCTTTTTTCAGCGGTTCTATTGGTATTGCCAGCGCTACTTGGCAAAAGCGGTGCCTTTCCAGCGCTGCAGGAGGAGAATTCCCTTGATCTTTCGTTGAACTGTAAGTTTAAAAGATATTTTTTGAGCTTTGTTTTCTATTTGACGTAATATTAAACACAATTTGTAACTAATATTAAATCGATCCATATTGTTAATATAAATATTAAATTTTCGTAAGAGATTCTGTAAAATGAGCAAAGTAAAGAAAATTGATAACAGAGATAAATAAATAATCAAAGAAAAATTCATTTTCTAAATTTTATTAACGAATATTTAAAATATTTTTAATGTAAAAATTCTCAAGTTCAATGTTTCAATTTTATAGGACAGTTATGAAAAGTTGTAATTTTATAAATTTTGGTCTTTTTTTTTTTTTCATTTTTGCAGACAACACAGCAAACAATGATGAGACGTCAAGCCTTCTCCGCAACAAGAGAGCAACTAACAAGAACAAATTGCATTTACCCTCATTTCGGCCCCTCAGCTGGCCATCATGGGCGGGCGGCTCAGGAGGATGGGGTACTGGAAGTTGGGGTACGGGAGGATGGGGTACCGGGATTTTTGGTGGATGGGGCGGCAGTGGCTCTCAATCCTTGCCTAGACCAGTTCACCACCACAACCACTTCCACTTTGGCCAAAATGGTCTGAACGGAAATAACGGGGTGAACGGTGGTAACGGGGTTAATGGATACAACGGAAACAATGGTAATAACGGAAACAATGGGAACAACGGAGGTAACGGAAACAACGGCAACAACGGAAATAACGGCAGCAACGGAAACAATGGAAACAACGGAAATAACGGAAGTAATGGCAATAATGGAAACAATGGAAATAACGGCAACAACGGCAACAACGGAAATAATGGAAATAACGGAAATAATGGAAATGCTGGAAATAATGGCAACAATGGAAATAATGGTAATAATGGAAACAATGGAAATAATGGCAACAATGGTAACAACGGGAACAATGGAAATAACGGAAACAGCGGAAACAACGGAAATAATGGCAACAATGGAAATAATGGAAACAACGGAAATAATGGAAATAATGGAAACAACGGAAATAACGGCAGTAATGGCAACAACGGAAACAATGGAAATAACGGTAACAATGGAAACAACGGTAACAATGGAAATAACGTCTACAGCGGATACAGCGGTGGGTATTTTTGTGGATACGACTGCGGAAAGAAAGGTGCGACCCAGAACAAGGTGAAGACTGGAGCTAACCAAGCGCGACGTCAGGGTAGTATTAGCAGCAGCAGCAGCAAGTCTGGGCAAGGCTGGTTATCCTCGCGACTTATAGGATGGGTGCAACCCTCAAGCGCCAAGCCCAGCAGCAACAATGTCGTAAAGAAGACAGCAGCAACCCCGCGCGCCAAGCAGCCAAGTGCAGCTCGACGACCCCAAGTGACGAGCCAACCCAAGACCAGTCCTAGCGGCAGGTCTCAACAATCGAGACAGTCGTGGACCAGGTGGATCTTTTAAACAAAGACTTAAACAATTATTTTTTTTTTATCACAGGAGAGAAATATGCTTTTGGTTATATTTGTTTCTTGCAAGTAATTTGTGTACAACTTATTAGTAAAGCTCATACCGTATTATGTTTTGTTAATAAAATCTCTTTTTATGATTAAATAATAATCTTATTTGATCTTATTATAAAAAAATGTGTTTATATACAAAAGAAAAAGGTCAGAATAAGCCTTATACTTTTAGTTTTTATTTATTAATTAAGATTTCTTAAAATTTTACATTTAAAAGAAAATGTTCTTTTAAGAAATTATATACTAAAAAATTGTGTGATAATTGCAAATATTTTTATTCTTAAATTGCATTATCGCGTATAGTGTTTATAACATTATTTTTATATAATTCTCTTAATTCAAGAATTTATACCAATTAGTTGCTACATTTTAATTTTTAGTCTGAACACAGTTCTGATCATCCGAGAATTATGAAAAATATTTAAATCATAATGCATTAACGAAAAAAAATGAAATAAAACTTGCCAAAAATTTCTTGACGTAAAAAAATAATTCAGAAAAACTAATTTTATTGCGCAAAGTTTGCTTAATATTTTTCTTAAGTTGAAATGACCCTAAAGTGTATGGTAGTGAAACCAGTTTGAGGTTTGCGCCCTACTTCACAGTCCATAAAAAAAATGAACTAAAACCGTTTGGCTAACATTATCAACCAAATCGTAGGAATATTAGTTTTCAAGTCTGCAAAAAAAGAGAAATAAGCACTGTCATGCGCATGATTGGCAGAAATTAATAAATGCTTTGCCGCAATGGTTGGACCAGATTAAAGATCAATCAATGTCTTTAACTTGCAGCACTACAGCTAATTTTAATATCTTGATCAAATAATTATATTATGCATGCATTGATGGCTGTCGGCGGTCGTCAGGTATGATTATTCCGCTCTTGTTGCGCAGGTTGCCTATAGTTGCTGTCGAAAAAATCTTGGATGAATGCTTTGTTCAGATTAAAAATTAATATCTAGCAACTAAATCGGTGCACATTCTCAAATTAAGAGAAACAAATAAAAATAATTTTATAAAAACTTCTTTCGCGATGATGCAACTTGAGAACAAAAATATTTGCAATTTTTACACAATTTTTTTTGGGTATATAATTTTTTAAACAATAAACGCGTTTTGTCAGCAGTCTAGCCGACGCATTTTTTTTTTCAACTACAGCCAAGGAAACTCATCAGAAGGTGGGATAGTCTCTGCTTGTCTACAAATTTTAGTTTTCTCCAACACACAACTTTCGCGCATCCTGTGTGTTTTTGGATGTGGAACAAACCGAGGAGATTCCTTTTCATTTCCATAGGGTAACTGTACCTACAAGTTTTCGCGTCTAGTCTCTCTAAATCAAAACATGTTTTTCAGTGGAAAGTGGAAGATTCTCTGCTATAAAATGAGATCTTGTTTGGCCGCGGCTCATCATTTAAGCAGATCAACTTGATCAGTGTTCTTGCAAGTGTGCAGACTGAAGAGCTTGTCTCAGCTAGATGAAGGTTTTGATTACAAGCGCCCTTCTTGGGCTCGTTACCATCGCAAGTGCTTTGCCCACAAAGGCAGCGCCCAAACAGCTTTTTATTTATCACCCTGAACCACTAACAGGTAAGGAAATTTCCTTTTAATTTTGATACTACAGAAAATATTAATTTAAAAAATCTAATGTAGCAAAGTATATTGTCTGAGCTTATTATTAATTAACTTTTAATTATATTTAAAATAAATTTATTTTCATTTTTCATTATCTTTAAGTCAAAGAAAAACTAACAAAAATAATTTTTATTTTTTTCTATTATCAAATTGAAAGAAAATATAGGAAATTTGCATTAATTGATGTCTCTTTGACTGAAACAAGAAGTCAAGTATTACAGCACAAAGCAGTTAATATAACAAATTCTGCATGCAAAATGACAATATTCCCTGGATTACAAAGAATAATAAGTACTAATTAATTCAAGGAAAATAAGAGATAAAAAAATTAATAAAAATTAGGAAATAACTAATTAGAAATACGAGATTAATACCTTTTTTTTTGCAGATTTGACTAGCAATGCCGCTCAAGAATTATCAACTAAAAATGCATTAGGATTTCGAGGAAGGATTCATCTTTTACAATACTTATTCAAACCATTATTTTCACCTCCAGCATCTTACAACCCTTCAGGGCCATATCCACCATATGGACCACCGTCATTTGGACCTGCAGGGCCAGTGCCCTTCTCCCAGCCCTTATCACAACAATCGCCCGATCAACCTAACCCGCAACAAGCACAATACCAACCCTGGGGGCAACAGTCCCCTAATCAAATACTACCTCAACATGGCACGTCATCATCTTCATCTCAATACTGGCAAAATGTTGATGGTGAACAACACTTCCACACACACTTCTGGGGAGCGAACGGCCAAAATGGTCAGGATGGGGCAGATGGGCTCATAGGGGATAGCGGAAACAATGGTAATAATGGAAACAGCGGAAATAATGGAAATAACGGCAATAATGGAAATAACGGAAACAATGGGAATAATGGAAACAATGGAAACGATGGAAATGAAGGAACTAACGGAAATAATGGAAATAACGGAAATAACGGTAACAATGGAAACAATGGTGACAATGGAAACAACGGAAATAATGGAAACGATGGAGCTGATGGAATCAACGGCAATAACGGAAACAATGGAAATAATGGAAATAACGGAGACAATGGCGACAATGGTGAAGACGGCAATGATGGAAATGATGGAAACACGGGATCCAATGGAAACAATGGAAATAATGGAAACAATGGTGATAATGGAAATAACGGAAGTGATGGAAATGATGGAAATGAGGGTAACAATGGAAACAATGGCAATAACGGAAATAATGGTAACAATGGAAATGATGGAGTTTATGTGCCAGCTTAGGAGCATGATGATTACTAACATAAAACTAATTTATTCATACTTTTTTTAAAGATGCGGCTAGTAAATTCTAGCAATGTTTTTATTTATGCACTCGCACAGATGTAATTAATTAAGAAAAGTTAACGATTTATTTATTTATTTAAAAAAATTTTTTTAGTTTTATTTTGTATAAAATAAACTCCAATAAACCATATTTAATTTATGTTCATACTTCTGTCTGATTTTAATTTATTTAGACCAAAGATTGCACATAATATTATTATTGAACTACAAGCTTATAATAACATAGTTTTTGACGACTGCGGAAAAAAATACATGATTAAGTGAAATTTTCCCAATTGTAAGATATCGTTTTGGCAAAATAAAGACAAGCATTTGAGTTAAGAACACAAAATTACATTATTAACTTATGAATTTAACACCCATATAATTTTAGTGTGTAGAAAGAAAAATTTTAAACCTTAATAAAATCAATTATTATGAATTGGCATGAGTAAAAATTGATTTTCTTCTTCTTCTTCTTCAATAAAAGCAACACTAGAACACCGTCAGCACTAGAAACCCAGTCTTCTGTAAAGAGAAACAGCCCTCTGTGCGCCATTAATAATATAAATCCATGTAAGCAACACGCATTGAATCCGTGTCGGGCCAGTTGCCTAACTTTTAGAATTAAGAATGTTTTTTTTTTATTAAAACTCCCGTTACATGATTTTCATTTATTCTTATTTTGGGTCAAGGTCAAGAAAAGTCTTGTCGGCCTGTGTCATCTTTTAGTGGTGAAGAAGGCACCACACTATTTTTGCCATTTTTATTTTTGCATAGTTGGGTGCGCTCAAGAATTTTGCGCTCGCACTTGCCTTCAATGGTGGTTTTGAAAATTTTTGCACTGCACTCAGATAACAAATTTTTTTCCCTAGAATGCCTAGAATTTTCCGGGCATTTAAAAATTGCAAAAATCAATTTAAAAAAATTGTCAGTCAATATTAATTTCTTTAGGCGCAAAATTTTGTCTTAATAAATTATTGACTTTTTGTAATAACCTACTAGTTTTTGGGCGGAATTTCTTTATTTTTCACTGAATTTGCAAGTTATACGACCGCGCTGCTTTTTTGAGTGCAAATGCAAATGAGCGCACGCACTCACTGATCACTGACGGTTGCACTCGCGCTCGGAGCTTTAAAATCAAGGCGCTCAAGAGTGCAGAGCGGAGACTGGCGAGACTGCACTCTGCGCAACTATCTATTTTTTTGTGATTCAACTATTTGGCACGTATAATCGAAATTAATCAAATTAATATTTTAAATTGTGTAAATTACCGGTAAAAATAAATTTAAACCGAATATTTATTTGACTGGTTACGCACATAATATGCATAATTTTAATATAATAATTCAAATAAGATGATTTTCATCTTAAATTTTTGCACACGCAGACACGCATCACACAACGTTGCAATTGTCTATTATTTATTTAATTTTTTTGTGCAAGTAGATTTCTTTTAATAATAATCAAATAATAATGAAATAAAAATTGTTAAAAAAAATGTCATTTTATTTAAAATATTTCATATTATTCCACTGGCGCGCGTTTGATACTTTTGGGATGGGTATTAATTCTATAAATAAAGAGATTAAAAAAAATTATAACTTTGTGTTTTAAATTTTTATAGCTAATTTGAGTACCACGAGTAATATCGTTTACAATAATGTAGTTCATTCGCCACAATTATTTTTTAATAAAATATTTATTTATCAAATTATTTTGCTCAAATTAATTATTTTCCCCCTCACTTTAACGCACTTTACTAAATGCAATATAACTTTAATGTGTAATGAAAGGCATAAAAAAATAATATTATATAGCTGCTGCTACATGGAATACATAAGACAACAACTATAAAATTGTGTAGTACAACTCGCATAAACTTCACTTTTAGCCACCTACCTCTTTTCGGCTTCCCAGGCTATCCCCAAGGTCCATTTTCCGGGATCGTCTAATCAATCGTAAACTAGTTCCTTATTGTGAAATAACAAATTAAAATTAAAAACTAGTCACGCATGCACTGAAAATGAGTGACACACGTTTGACGAAATCACTCATCATAGATCACACCAGCAAAATGTAGTTGTAAACAAAATAAGCGACGACAGCTGATTGCGGAAAGAAAAGGAGCGCGCGCACTATCGGCGCAATCTCAATATTTATGTAATATTATTATGTAATGTACTTCAGCTTCAGATAAATGATATGTCCAGCCCAGCCCAGCTGTATCTGCAGGAGCTTGTGCAGGAGTATGATAGTATGAAACGAGACATGCAACAGTACTGAGGAATGCAAATAGTTTTAAAGATCCAGAGTTAAAATCCATAAAAAATTACAAAAATACCGAAAAAAATACTTCAAAAGAGATCATGGGGTGTTGAGTTGAGCGTGCTTTTATTCGCGCTCGCAGTTCTAATTCTAATCACGTCTAGGGATAGTAGAGCTCTGGGATACGAATAAGGGCGGGGCTTAGGTACCAGCTCCCATTTGATTACATTGTACCAGTTTAACATTGCGGGTATCGGGGGGCTCCGCCTTTCTTCGTATCCCATGGTTCTACAATCCCTAATCACGTCATGTTGTCAGTGCCACGCCCCCGCCCACCTGGACGTCAGTGGGCAAATTGTTATTGTTCAACGTAAACAATAACTCGAAGGCTCGATTTTTCAGGTCCAGGGCACCATCTTTGACTTTGTAGAGTTGCAGATGTTGGGAAAACAGAAATTCTAAAGTCGACTTCGATGAAACGCAGAAAATGTTTCGTCTGAAACACCTTGTTTGCTTTTTCCTCTCGGCGATCTCCCTCATTGGCCATGTCCACCCTTCTGATGACCTCCACTTTCAGCACCGCTCCTACGAAGATTTGACACGATGGCTTAAAAATGTGTCCGCAGAAAATCCCAATCTTACTTCCTTCTACACCATCGGACAGTCTGTGGAAAAGCGGGAACTGTGGGTTCTGCGTCTGACAGAAAATGCCCAGGCCGAGAGAGCAATCGGCCGCCCCATGTTCAAATGGGTTGCAAATATGCATGGTGATGAGACCGTCGGACGAGCTATGGTCATCCTTCTGGGCGAGTATCTTATCAAGATGTATGGAAAAGACGACAGGGTCACTGCCTTACTCAATACAACAGAAATCCACCTGATGCCTTCAATGAATCCTGATGGCTTTGCTGCTTCAAAGGTTACAAATTTAATTATTTTGAATGAAAATAATAACAGGCATAAAATAATTTATTTTCCCAGGAGGGAATGTGCAATTCTTTGAATGATTTTCGGGGCCGGAACAACAGAAACGGTGTTGACTTGAACCGGAACTTCCCTGATCAGTTTGATCAAGTCCGGGGTGACTTTTTAGAGTACCTGACTGGAGGGAGGCAGAAGGAAACACTGCTTATGATGTCTTGGATTTCCTCGCAGCCGTTTGTTCTGTCAGGAAATTTGCACGGTGGAGCTGTCGTAGCCAGCTACCCCTTCGATGACACTGGGTATATTTTATTAAAAAGTCACAAAACTAAATAAAGTAAAAATAATTAATTTTTTATTGTAGAGGACCTGATGAAGAAGGCATTGAATCGCCCACTCCAGACAACAAGCTCTTTGTAAGCCTGGCTAAACTCTATGCCAATAATCATGGACTGATGAAGAATGACATCAAATGCGAAGAAGGGGATCACTTTCCTGGAGGTATTACCAACGGTGCCCATTGGTACAATGTGAACGGTAAAAATTATCATTTTCATTTCCTCACATTGAATCCCATATTTTATTTATCTAGGTGGAATGCAGGATTTTAATTATTTGCACTCAAATTGCTATGAGGTTACTTTTGAATTATCTTGTTGCAAATACCCATTGAGCAAGGAACTAGCCAGTGAGTGGATTAAAAACAAAGAGGCTATGTTGGCTTTTATGGAGGCCACTAACTGGGGTGTCAAAGGTGCTTTTTTAAATTATCAGAAATTTTTTTTGGACTAATTTGTTTTTGTAATTTTTGAAAGGCATTATCCGCTCATCAAGTGACAGCAAAGGGATTGACGGCGCTCATATTACTGTTCAGGGGAATGCCCATTTAATTTCAACCACCAAAAGAGGAGAGTACTGGAGGCTTCTTTTGCCTGGAGAATACATTATCATAGCTAGTGCTCCAGGGTAGGCTTAATTAAATTGTTGTAACTAATGCATGAGACTATTTTTTGATGCTCGATCAAGATGTTTTTTAACTTGACTTTCTCTCTTCTGATATTTTAGACACAATCCCGAGACAAAGAGGGTTTTGGTTACTCGTGAAAGGCCATCAGTACTTGATTTCTCACTTGAAAGCACAACCAATTTTCCTGAAAAAAGTCTCAAAAAAGGTGTGTATAATCTTAAAGCTTTTCTTTGTAAATTAATCGAATATTCTTTTAATTTTTTATTACAGAAAAAATGAAACCAGAAGTTGGTTTGGCAGTGAAACCAGCCCCAACAAAACTAGATACACCAGTCCTCATCCATCACAATCAAAAAGCTTTATTCGAAGAATTTTTAATGCTGACAAAAAACTATCCAACCATTACGAGACTTTATTCGATTGGTAAAAGTGTAAAAGGAAATGATTTGTACGTTTTGGAAATATCTGACAATCCTGGTGCACATGAATTAGGTATATTGATTTGTATTTTCCTTTGAATTCTGTTTTTAACAATTATATTTTTCTCAAGGTGAACCTGAAGTCAAAATGGTTGCAAACATGCACGGAAATGAAGTTGTCGGCCGAGAAATTCTCATAACTCTAGCTCACTGGCTCTGCTCGAATTATGGAGTTAATGACACTGCAAGCATGATAGTAAACTCCACACGCCTTCATCTTATGCCATCCATGAATCCAGATGGATATGAATCCTCTTCTCAATGTATAAAAATCTATTTTGTTCTTATGCATTAAAATTAACACATGCAAATTGATTTAAGACTCTCAGGATAGCATGGAAGGTCGAAACAATGCAAACAATGTTGATCTAAACAGGAATTTCCCAGACCAATATCAAGATGTTAATGTATTTACTTTCAAATTTAATTTTTTTTTTACATATTAATGCATTGTATTTATGTGTTTGTAGAAACTTTCCAAAGCCGAGCCTGAAACTGCGGCAGTGATTGAGTGGACCAAATCATATCCATTTGTTTTATCGGCTAATTTGCATGGTGGCTCCGTCGTCGCAAACTACCCTTTTGACGGCCAAGCGCCAGGGCAAGTAAGTGGTCAACCAAATTATGCTCCTGATGATGCAGTTTTCCAACACTTGGCTCATCTGTATGCAGGGGTAAGTTGTAATAATCAATAGAAAATGAATGCTTATGTCACATTGACAGAAAAATCCCGCAATGACCAGAGGTCCTGACTGCAAATTGCGGGAAAAAGAAATATTTCACAACGGAACCGTGAATGGGGCATCATGGTACTCGGTTTACGGTGGCATGCAGGATTGGAACTATGTTTTTCAAGATTGTTTTGAGCTGACCTTTGAATTAAGTTGCAACAAATACCCTCTTGAAAGGGACCTACCGAAATACTGGTCTGAGAATAAAGAATCCCTACTCGCTTTTATCCAAGAGGTTTGTTAAGAATAGTATTTAAAAGTTTTTTTTTTTTACTTTTTAATTTTTTTTTACCTATTGTTAAGGTTCACATTGGTTTGAATGGATTTGTATTTGACAAGAATGGCCAGGCAGTACTCGGAAGCTACATCGAAGTGGACGGAATTGATCATGTAACCAGAGTTACATCTAATGGAGAATATTGGCGACTCCTGGTGCCTGGATCCTATTTAATTACTGCCTATGCCCCTGGGTAATTTCAGTTTTCTCCAAAAAAGAAAATTAGTAACTCTGAATTATTTATAGATACCAATCTGAGCCAGTGGTTGTGAAACTAGAAGGAAAAGTGAACTTGAACTTTACTCTTGAAATGGATAATTTAGTAAAATGGTCTAATGAAACTGATTTCAACGTAGTAGAAAATATGAGTCCCATGTTTTCATACTTGAAAAATGTCGGGATTGAAGGAATCCTAGTCAATTTAGAGAGACTTTTTGAAGGAAATGCCGAGTACGATAAAGTAGGAGCGGGAGTTGATTTGATCAAAATAGGACATGAGGTACCAAACTTCACTGCCAAGTCATGTGCATTACTATAAATTATATTTTTAGGCCCAGCTGCCGTCTGAAAAATTGCAAATCCTGCTGATAGGAGGGCTGCAACCAAACGAGCCACTTGGTCGAGAAATTCTGATCAGATTCGCAAGGCATCTGCTCGTTGGCGCCAGCAAAGATGATGCTAAGATAAAGGATTTGCTGAGCAGAGCTAACTTCATTATAGTACCTGGAGCCGATCCACAGTTTGAAATTGTGCAAAGTAAGCTGTTCTAATTAGAAGAAAAATGAATATCAATTATCATGGATAATTAATAAATAATTCTAGGTGCTTGCCAGCCAGAAACAAGAGGCTTTTCGACACAAAGTCAGCAAACTGGAAAAATAATTCGGACACTTATCGCAGACAATGATGTTGATTTTGTAATATCAATTGGCAGTGGAGGATACTATTTTGAGTGAGGCTATACCCAGATTTTCAGGATTCATTGATTATATTAATGTGATTATGTTTCACAGAGCTCCACAAAACTGCTCCAGCAACCAAAGAAAGTTCTTCAAGAACCTTGAGAAAAACTTTAAAATGTTCCACAAGGTGTTTTCAAAGACAAACGAATTCTGCAAAAAGGAAAGGTATAACAATGAGTTGACTCCGGACATAATTTTTTCCTCATATTCAGTACCTATGGTATGTTAAATAATTCATGGTATCCTGAAAATTTTCCAATGGAATTATTGTCTTTCTAGGTGTCAGTTCACCTTGGTTGTTGTCTTTACCCACCTCCTAATCAAGTTCCGTTCTTATGGAGACACAATTTGAAAGGTCTTTTGAATTTAGTCTCGGCATCATTACAAGGTACTCTTTCATATCAGTTTTCATTGCAAAAAGCTCAATAGAAACAAAATGTGATGGAAAAATATTTGAAAAGGTATTACGGGACGAGTAATGGATGACGAGGGAACTCCTCTTCGTGAAGCCAAGGTTGTTGTTGTCGGCTCCAGCGCAAAAGTGTCTTTCTCGGCAAATGAAGCTATCTTCCGCACAATACTTCCAACAGGAGTCTACAAGTTAACTGTCACTGTGCCTTCTTACCCTGAAAAGTCAATTGCTGTGACTGTTTCCCCTGGCCGACTAGCAAACATAAATTTTTCTATGGGCCGACCAAGAAAGGCTGACTTAAAAACGCAAAATTGGCTTAATTCCTTGGTCACAAATTACCCTTCAATTGCCACATTAATAAGGTAGTTTTTTAAATCTGCATTCAAAGTATACAGTATACTTCTTAAATTGTAGGAATGAGCAATTTAAGGACTTAAGACTGAGCTTCACCTCCCTTGACAATCTTATGACGCCTTGTACTGCATTGATATTCAGGTGCACATCCGAACCCTGCATGTCCCAAGAAGCTGCGAAGGGCATCGTAGAAAATATTGCACAGAAGTTTATCAACATTAAACAAGAGGGAAGCCTTTTGCAAGCCACCAGCATCCACTTTCTTCCCTGGCAAAAAGGTTGATTATTAGTATTTTTCAGTATTTTTATTAACTTTGTGTATAATTGAATGTGCATAAAAATAGATACTACAATTGCTAGCGATGAGGACATTCTCCAGTGGGTGGAAATCCACCGCCCATTGTTTGTGATATACCTGAACGATAAAATTAGTCCTGGCATCAATATTCCAAAAGTATCATATGGAGGCAGAAGCTCAAACCCTGATGTATGTTTTCCAATTTGCTGAGTGCAATGTTTATTATAATTTCAATTTTAGATTTTTAAAAATGCTGTGATGCTTATAAACTCCAACACTACGACAGTGCCTACAGTAGAACCGGAATCGTTTGCGGTATGTATGTCCTTTGCACCACCAAAGTGGAAAATATTTATTTGGTAAAGTGCAATTTTCAACCAACTCATTTTACAGAACGCAATCAACTCGAGAATTGAAACAATGACCTTTGAGTTTGGTGTCAACGGGCAGTTCAACTCTTCGCTTTTGCAATCTTTAGTAGCCTTCCAGGCTGATTTCGGAGTTACGGTGATCATCATGGACGATGTTAAAGACCTGATCCTTCAAACCGCTAAGCTTGAAATCCGTTCTCACAGCTTAAATTTGACAGTACAGCCGTCACGTGGCCTCTTCTGGCGCCCACTGCCCCGTGGCGAGTACGCTTTCTTTGCGTCTGCCCCCAATTACCTGACCTTGGTACACGACTTCAAACTTTTGACGGAAGGCCACGAGACGGTCGTTTTGAGGCTGGTAGCAGACAGAACATTCTTTGGCATCTCCACAATGTCACTCATCTTCATTTGTGGACTTGTGGTGCTTGGAACGGCGACTGTGTCAGTGCTAAGAACTGCTATCAAATACAAGAAAGCTAAAGGGAGGCAGCGCCAGACCAACGCATTGCTCAGGCACAATGGCGACATTGCCCTGTCAAAATACGTTGACTCAGAATCTGACGAGAGCTCGTCTTCCTAATCAATTGATTCGATTTGTGATGAAAATGTTTTAATTAAGAAATCAATGTTTTACTGAATTTTCAGAACAATTTTAAAATTGAATTTTGAAATTTTTAAGAAATCAATTTTAAGGCCGTATTATTTAATGTTTTTAATTGTTGTATCAAGTGATTTATCCCGAATTAACAATAAATTTGAGAGATTGTTTTTAATTTATCTGTTTTGTTATTTTATTTGAGGAGGTTATAATATATTTTTTCAACTGTAGATGACATGAAAACACTCCTACATATTATAGTACATGCACTGCACACACGCTCTGCATTATTACACCCTCGGCTTCGGCTACACACAATGTATTTATGCATTTTTGGGAGCATCAAATATGCCCTCACGAGTTTATTTAAATGAAAATTAATAATTTATTTTTGATAGTGAAATTTGTAGAAAATAAATGGCCAATTGAACTAATATTTTTATGAAAGTATACAGCAAATATTATTGATTGCATTACATTATACAAAAATGGAAAAATGTAGCATCCATATAAATCAACATTTTAAACTTAATAGCATTTAACTGATTGTCCATACTTTTTTAAAGTTCACAGTAATGTTGAAAACTTCATAACATCATATTGAAAAGAACACACAATTCTGAAAATAAATATCCAATATGCTGCAAACTTATTCTGAATCAAAAATTTATTTCAATATAAAACACCGGCCCTTTCATAATAAGTTTTTTTTTTAATCCTGTTGAGTTTCAATGATAATTATTAAAATATATAATTTATTTATTTTCTGCACATTAAGCGCTTAATATGTGTTTCTTCATTTTTTCATTTTTTAAAAATTAAAAAAAAACTATTTTTATTTTTAAATTTTTTTCGTTATGTTAATGATCAATTGATCAGTTATATTATCTTTTATTCAATGCCTAGCTAAAATATAAAAAAATTACTCGTCTTAATTTTCTATCAATTCTTACGTCCATGCCGATTTCGCGGCAAATTTGCTGATTATGGCGCTGTACTCGCTGATTCGCTCACATAAATTCAAAATTGTCAACAAACACTAACAAAAGAGACAAGCAGCATCCAGCAGAGCAACACAAACAGTCATTTTCCTTTAATAATTTCTCCCGCGCCGCTTCTGGTAAAATAAAATAACTCAATTATATTTAGCTTTTAAGGTTTTACAACTATTTTTTTTAGATCAAAAGTTAATTTTAATTCAAAGTAAACGATTGGCAAGGAGGCAAAAATAATGTCGATGCCGGAGTCTGCATCCTGTACTGCTGCTTATTCTGTGCGAAACATTCTTGATTCATCGAAGGTACCACTTCTGCTGAAAAACAGGGCAGACAAATGGAACATTACCAAGACATGGACATTAGAGGACTGGGGTCAAAACATCGGCTTTTCTAAACTGCTGCCTTTCCGCTGCGGACAAAATTTTCACACAGAGGTAGGTTTGATAATACATAGAGCACATAAACAGATGTGTCTTTATGACCAGATATTTTAATTTTTAGGAACCGCAATGGGAGTCTTTGTGCGTTAAGAAAGATTTGACAATGAGGCAATTTATAGATCACTGTCTGTCAAATGACGTGAGTGCAGAATGGCTCTATTTTGATTACAAACACCTCAACGAATGGTTTCAAGACAATGAAGATTTTCTGAAAGTATTAATTAATATTCATTAAAAAGAGATAGAGATATTAACAAAAAATATGATTGGTATTTAAGGATATTGATTGGGGCATTGTTGGGTTTCCTGAAAGAAAAAAGAGCGACTCGACTTTGTGGATCGGAAGCAAAGGTGCACACACTCCTTGCCATGTTGACACTTATGGCTTCAACTTGATTGCCCAAATCTATGGACAGTACGTATAATAATTTTATTTGTTATATTTAATTTTCATTGTTCACTTATTTTACACAAAGAAAACAGTGGTTCTTGTTTCCACCTGAGAGTGGAGAAATCTTGAAAGCAACAAGAGTGCCCTACGAGGAGTCAAGCATATACAGTCAAATTAACTTCTTTTCTCCATCAGAAGGTTTTACTTTTTTCTTGGTTATTTCATTCAATATTACTTGAGAATTTTTCAGTGGAATCTCTCGATGCGTATGTTGTGACCCTAGATCCAGGCGACGTTTTGCTTGTGCCCAACGGATGGTGGCACTATGTTGAGACTATTTCCGAAGCTGCGATAAGTCTCAACACTTGGGTACCACTGGTAAATTTTCTATAAATATATAAATTACAAAAAAGTGCTCATGATATAATTTCTTAGGCTAGTGATGCACACAAGCAGCTTGAAGAGGCGCTCGTAAAACTTTTTGTGTCTTCCGTCTGCCGACTAAGCTCAAATGCGTCAAAAATTTTGAATCCCAATGAGGTTAAAAATTAATTGCTTGTGATTTTGTTACATCTATTAAACATGCATAATTAATCCTTAGAGCAATCTTGAGGATGAAAATATCCTCAATTATATCCAGTGGGCGACGGAAGCGAGTAAAAAATTGAGTCTCGACGAAAAGCCTCCTGCTGCAAAGAGAGCCTGCCTTGATCTTAATGAACTTCCTGAAGGTATTTCAAGGTTGAAAATATTCCCTGCAGATCAGTTTAGAAAAATTTTGAGACTAAAGAGAAAAAATATTAGTAAAAGGTCATCTACAATCTTGCAAAATGACACTGATTTTGAACTGAGCAGAAGACTGATAAATGCTATGTGTAGCCAACAGGTTCTAGCAACTATTGCTAGTAAAATTACAAACGAATAAAAAATAATTATCACTTATTATACAATGCTTCTATATTTTAATAAAATCATTTTGGCTGTCACGCATATATTTCAAAGAAATGCAATGCATTTGCAAACGTTTAATGCAAAATATATAATTTAACAGATCAACTGTGCATGAGGCATGAGTATTTTTGTTACTTTATAAATATCCAAGAAAATATATTAAAATAATTTGGAATCAACATAGCAGTCTTGCAGAAATCACTATTGCAAAAGTCATTATCATGTTTGGCGCCCAGTTGAGTGGCGCTGAATTGCACAAATCGCCTTGGCAGAAGCAGGCAAAAACTTTCCTGTTGTTTCTTGTTATGTAGGCACATCTCTCTTCACCATCGGAGGGCTGTCTTTGCAGACACATTCTGTGTGTTGCTATTCCATAATCTAAATTTTTTCATCATTTAAGAAAGTTACTTTTCAAGACAGTTAATTTCCTACCGTCGTCTTTGAAAGTGCTACCGCCTTCCATCATTTTGCTGCACCAGCCAGAGGCGCAAGGAATTGTCTCGACACCCCTCAGAAGCTGGGGCTCTTCCCCTTTCACAGTAGGTTTGGCGGTGCCATTGACTGGGAAGGGGTCTTTGCAGTTGCCCAATTCGCCTCTTGATCTACACGAGTAACATCGTTTTATGATCCCTGAAAATTTATGTTGATTTTGTTTAGAAAAGTGAACGGGACACCTTCCACTTGATGCTAAGAAGGGCGCTTTTTATCTTATAGCTATATAACTGTATGTAACTATACCTTGCGTGAAATGGACTGAGGAGAGGAACACAAATAGGGTCAAAATCAGGAAATTGATGCTTCCAGATGGGCCGATTTTGATTTCCATTGCATTGAGACCTCGATTCTTTTTTAAACTGATTCCCACTGACAAGCTGTTGACCTCGAATTCTTGATCCCCCTCTCCTTTGATTTACTTTCTCCTCCCACCTTCCTTTCTCAGGTACAAGAAACCTGCACCAGCGATTCTGGCGCTATTGCCATAAAAATGTTAAAAATATAAAATTTAGTATATCGAGGACAGAATTATCTTTTAATCAAAATTTTCTATAGCAATCCTTTTCTTATTGACGATCCAAAAAAAGGTTCAAGTGTCCCCAATTATAATAGAAAAAATTAAACTATTAAATTAAACTCGTCAAGCAGAGAAGAAAATAAACGCAAGATTTGGTTCCAGTACACTTAAAATTTATTTCTTTATCAGCGTAAATATTTACGTCCAGAAGCATAATGACAAGTCCTTTTATCGAAAATGATCCTCCACGATGAAGTCAATGGTTTTTCACAGGTTGTGAATTTTCATAAGTTTTCTTCTGTCTGGTCAGCTACGCAACATTCAAAACAACACGCAATTTTGACAGATTAAACGAAGCAGGTGGTTTGAAAGTGCCAGGGTCTTAGTAGTCGTCCTTGTTGTAGCGGCGTTCACGTGGTGGTGAATCTGAGCGGGACCTACGGCTTCTGGAACGGGAGCGCGATCGGCTTCGCGAGTCTCTCCCTTGGCGCCTCTCCCTGGGTGAACGAGACCTGTAACAACATTCAGGGCGATTAGTACTAAGTTGAGAAGGCGCTTCTAGCACGCAACCACAAGAGGACTGAACTAGAAAAATGTAAATGGGGGCCAATTGTCAGCTGGTTCATGATTTATTTATTGATTAAATCTGGCGAGGAAACTTTTCAAAAAATTTTAGTTGCAAATTAAGTTTATTGGTGCATCACAAGAAGTCTCTGCCTGTATTTATTTTATTTGGACTGCTTTGATTAAGTTTCAAATTGGTATTTATTGGGCCGTAAATTATAGGAAATTTAACGAAACAATTTTTGCACACTAAAAATGAGTAAATCTGAGAAATTTGAAGATAACGAAAAGTGTCCTCTGAATGAACGAACCTCAATTATTTAATTTAGTATGGGATGTTGAGCAAACTAAGTGTATAATCAATTACTGGGCACTCTCAACTGCTTATAAATTTATGTCAACAACTCTTAGCCTATACTTATTTTGTCTGCTGAGGGCAAAGAGAGAAATGATGAGATTCTTTAGGCGTGAATACCGTTCTTTAACGTGTGAGGTCGAGCGAGCAAGTTGAAAAGTAGTTGCATTTTGAGGAGAGTCATTTTGAGGTCCTTTAAAGTTGCGCAGAAAAAGGACGCGCGCAGGGTGGTGGGGGTGGTTGGTTGAGCAGCCCCTTTGGACGAACGACCGACGGGCGGACAGTTGGGCGGGCGGGTGAGAGTGAGTCAACTGCCAACCACACCCTGACAAAGGGGACTTTCTTTAGCTCATAATCGATAGCACCGTTCTCGGACTGAGAGAGTTAGAGGCTTTCTTTCTTTGAGATTTATCATGTCGGGAGGAATTGCAGTCCGGTTGCGGTGGTGATTTTTGAAGATTGAAGGCTGACAGGCGGTAAGGGGTTGGTGGTGGTGGTGGTGAGAGGTGAATGTGTACAAAGAAGCAGTAGCAGTTGTGCTAGTTTGACTAGTAGTAGTAGAAGTTGATCCCTGCAAAAGTATGCGCACAATATCAATAAAGAAACTTCCTTTCTGTCCACGTCTGTCAATCAAACTTCTTGCTCTACTGATTTGTTAATCTCAATTCAATATAATATCAATTTAAGTTTATCACTTCAAATCATTTTTTCGGACATAATCATTCATACGATAAATTAATTCATTGCTTCGAAATCTGCAAACGAGCTTTAAATTTAGAGCCGTCAAGGCTCGAGGCTCACCTGGAGTACCTGCTGTTTCGTGGACCTCCTCTGCGGCCACCGCCTCCGCCTCCACCGCCGCCGCCTCCACCACCTCCTCTCCTACTGCGTCCAGTGGACATCTCTACACGCACACGGGTTCCGCAAACACGACTAGAAATTTTTTAAATAGAAATTACAATAGAGCTATAAATTTTTAAATGTTCTAATAAAACTCGATTATTGTGACACACTACAGGTTAAACAAAATTATTTTAGGATTTGAAGTTAAAAGTGTTAAAGCTTGGCATAGTTTGAAGCATGTTAAAAAAAAGAGTTCTTTAAATTATAAAATGATAGCAATAATAAAAATGGTAACTGGAAATATTATAATTGATTTTTGCTGATGAAGGGTAGCTTGGCATTAGCGTAAAACTGTACAATAATATGATGATACATGATCAGTGTGTAGACATAATAGTCTAGGTATTTTGACTAACAAATGTTAAATATTTTAAAAAGATAGCCTGACAGTCACGGCCTTGTATCACATCAGACAAATAATCAGCTTTGGCCTTGGGGGACAATAGGCAACATAATTTTTCAAAAAATATGTATCCATGATAATAAGAATAATAATTGCTCATACTATTTTACTCTATTTAAAAAAAATTCATTCTGTAATTTCATAATTAAAAAAAATTCATTATGTATTAATTATTATATAAATTTTTTTTTGACAAACAAATGTTATTTAGTGTTAATTTATAAATAACTTACGTTCCATCCAGTCCTCGGACCGCGTCTTCGGCGTCTCTGTTATCTTCAAACTCAACAAAGGCGAACCCTGCAGGGTTCCTGGCGACCCAAACATTCCTCAATGGGCCGTACTTAGAAAAGGCCGATTCAATTTCATGTTTGGAGGCGTTGCTGCCCAGGTTGCCGACGTACACCTTGCAAGCGAGGTCCCATTCGCGATATCGTGACATCTGAAAAGTAAAAGGAACACTTTAACATAAGCGCGAAATTCTATTTTGCCCACGGAGAGCGCCAGACGGATGCGTTGCCGCTCTCCTCCGACGCCATTTGGAGGCCTCCGAGATCAAAGCTCTCGCCGATTCGGCCGAAATGCTGCTAAAAGTGGTCATGCCGAAAGTTTTTTTCGCTCACCTTGATTAAAAGATATTAGCAAAGGAATGCAGGCGGTCGGTTGTCCAAAAAATGCGTGATATTTGACAAATTATGGTTAATCGGTGAGGAGGGAACGCTGTAACGCCGCAAAAATATCGATGTCTCTCAAAAGCCGAACTAGCCGAAGCTTCACGAAAAAAGGCGAAGCCGACAGTAGACCGCCAAGGAAGCCTATAGTTTGAATTTAGGCGCGAATTAAACGTTGTAGATGTAGTTATGCAGATCTATATATTTCGTGTACAAACATATTAAGTACTAATACCTATTTTCTTACTTATTACTGGCACCGACGAATGTGTTTGGGATTTTTTTTACGAGCTCATCTTCATTAAAATTATCCCTGGCAGTCCTGGCAAAACCAAAATAATAAATAATGCACTTTTAAAAAGTTCCAACCTCTTTGACTTACGACTCTACACAACTCTACATTTTCTTCTTAAAAAATTTAAAAATAAAATGGCTAAAATGATTTAAAAAGACAATAAACGATGAACGCATAAGAAAATTCGTTTGAATTTTTAAAGGTGGAGGTGAAACATATTATTATCAAATTCTAACCAGGCTATAGTGCAAGCGCGTCTATAATAAAATATTTATGTTGTAACATTAATGTAAAAATTTTTATCCTAATTAAAGTTTAGATATATATAAAACATATAAAGCATAAGGGTGGTTAAGTTTTCAATAAATCAATTCATTGCATATTATATACAAAATGTATCTTTCATTTCAATCCATATCCATAAACAATATTAAATTGCACAAAAATATATTACGATTATAACTTTGTGATACATCCCTAAACAATTTTGAATGTGACTAATGTGAGTATATCATAATTTTAATTAGAACATAAACCATTAAAAAGTAAGTAAAATCAAACTCATTTTTTTTTTTTTTTTTTTTTTTGCTTTAAGTGTTTATTTTTATTTCTTTGAATCCCTTTTTAATCACTAGTTGCCACTCCGATTATTCACTTATTGTAGCGCCTTAATTACTTTGATTGATTAAAATAACAAATTACATCAATGAAATGCCTTCTGGGCCATTTACTTCGTCTGCTTCGTCAGTTACCAAAATTCGCCAAAATTTAAATTAAATTTAAAATAGACAACTTCAGAATTGAAAGCCAGTTTTGCTACAGGTAGGGAAGATATAGAGGAAAGTCCTATCATTATGATTAAAGTGAAATTTTTCAACTAATTAAAAATCAAATATTTTTTAAATAAAAACCAAACAAAAATTAAAAGAAGTTAATTTTGTGCTCAAAAAAGTATTGTTTAATAAAATTAAAACTAAATGTGCAGATACAATTTAATTAAATTTCCCCCGGCCTTTGAAAAAGATTTTTTCAGGAAATTTTATACTGCTCTGAAATTTGTATTTTTTTTCTTAATTTGTATAATATGTAAATTGTCAGCGGTAGATTTGGGGTGAAATAATTGACCTAATTTGTATTTAGAACCAATCAACGGCTCTAGCTATTGCTCTTGGGCAGTATCCCCTGGCCAAAATTACATAAGGCGAATCATTAGATTTTGGGTCCAGTTTCTCCTGTTTCCTATTGCAGCTATTCCATAAGTGAATGGTGTAACTTCCATGCTCTCTAATGTATTCCAACCAGACGCTTGCATTACTGGTACGATACACCACATGGCATTCGCTGTATTTAATTGGACTAGTTATCAAATAATTCAAAACGTGCAGCTGGTTATTTATGTTTACGAGTCTGATCGCCTCGACAATGCTTATCTTAAAAACATTCATTACGGCTTTGTTAAAGGACCTGACTACTGTGGGATGATCTTTAGGGTCGTAATCTGAACGCACAGTCTCTAAAATTTTGAACAAAAAAGGATTGTGTCTTTCAAAACCAAGCATACTATTATTGATGTTGTAATCTGCGTCAGCGGTCAAAAAATTCTTCAGTTCGATGATTGCACTTAAGTTTTTGAGCGTCATATAGTCAAGGTCCATGTACATTCCGCCCAACTTCCACAACAAACTCAACCTCAAGAAGTTGCTTGTGTGCTCCTTAATGTAATAATTGTCTTTCTTCAATTTATTCTCTTTAGGGTCTTGAACAGGCGTGCCTCTTACTGCCTGTAGAGTTGCAATTATCAATCAGACTATTAATTGATATTTTTTTGGTGTTTACCAACTTAATTTATGACTAAAATAAGCTAATTATGCGTGTGGTATTATAAAACATTTTAATTTAATCAAGTTATTTAACACTGAAAAAAAGATAATTATAGGAAAATTATTACCATTGAGCTATCCACAGTAGCAAGTTTTACATTAGGGAAATGTTGAAGTAGCTCTTGCAGAGCGGGGTTTACATCGGCCCTAATTTCCAGCAAATCCGAAAATCCCAAAATAAAGTTGATGTGAGGATTTAAACTGGCGGCCGCCTCCAGTGTGCATGTTTGACGCAATTTCAGAATACCCGTTTTGGATGTCTCCAACAAGAATATCACGTTTTGTCCAAAAACACTCCTGAAAGTAGCAGCGTCGTCAAGCATTGAGGTAAGATTGAATGTCGATAGGAAACTTGATGCTTGTCTGGTGTTTGCGCTGCGAGGATCAAATAACCCAAATAACATTAAAATGGATAAGGTCAAAAATGACAGCAGTAGGAAAATTTTTCCAGCGAATTTAGAAGAAATAGTCGTCATGACACCGTAGAGTGAATAAGCTTGAGTACAAACCGCGCATACAGTGCAGTCGTGACACAAAAGCTTACAAAAGTTCTAGGTTGGTTCTAGGGGTATTGGGCGGAAGTGAATTCTCTGTTGTCTTATCGCCTTGGCCCTTAATATTATGCGGGTGTACCAGTGAAAATCAGTGTTCACGGTTTTCACCACTCACAATCAGGCATTTGGAAAATTAGATTCATTGCACCTGAAGTGCATTTATGTATATTTTTATGAGAAAATAAAGCTGATGATATTTTTATCTTCAAATAATTTTGAGAATTTTAATTTTGCCATTTAAATTCTGTCTTAAATCCCTTGTGGATGTGCATGAAATTTTTATGAAAAAAATTGCACACTGCGAGTTTCAATTATTGTCAATTTTATTTAGATTCTTTGTCATATTAACAGAATATAATTTAATATTACCACAGCAAAACTGGTTACAGCTCAAGCCCCTAAATTGTACCAAAAATAGACATGTTGTATGAATTATCAATTTATTATTCCCAGCAAAGGGTTACAATTTTTTAGTAACCCTTGTTTATCACCACCACCTTGAGCACTGCTGAGCTGGTTTCCAGTTTTGTATCAAACATTTTTAGCACAAAACTATCGAAAAATAATTTTTTTTATTCAGTCATGCTAGCGTAGGTTCTGTATCCATTTCAAATACTAGTCCTTATTAATTGAAGCAAGAAGTTAATAATTATTGTTCAAAACTCAAACAGACACTTGCTTTCACTTTACATTATCTTTTGGCGTTGCTTGCTTGCACACACTAAATTTTTTCTACCTCATCACTCCTCTTTTTAGCTCATGTTAACTCAGGACAAATGCATTTAATGTTGTCTAGTGAGGACATTCAAAGCATTCGGTTGTAAAATTTTGGCTGTGAAAAAATCGTAAATTCATTTAAATTGGGCCGCACCAACCGCATGTTTTTCCCAATAAACAAAGTAGTGAAAACGCAAATTCGTCAAAAACTTGTGAAAATCAAGGTAAAACCTTGTTGCTGCTCCAGAAATAATGAGTTTCATTTTTACTGCGTGTAAAAAAAGAAAGATTTGCTTGATGGGCGCCTTCATTTAGAGCTAAAATCTGTTTCAGGGCGCGCAGGCAAAAAGTGCATGGCCACATGTAGTGAGCTAGTGAGTGAGTGTGTGGTAATGGCATCATCAAAATTCGAGTCTCTTTTCGCCACGCGGATCATCAATCAAACGTTTTTTCGTCCAGCCACGGCCGGAAAATGGGCAGCGTTGATGGGTAGTGGGCGCCCTGCTTGCGTGCCAAAGTGCCCTCACCAGAGCCTGAGCGCAGCGGGTATGTGGCCATCATGATTGGCAACTGCAACTTGATTTCTTTCTCCAAACTCTTAGGGTCTATTATGAACTGAAACAATGCGCAGAAAAATATTTAAACTTTCATTTTATGGAAATTGAAAAAGGGCAAAACCTTTTTTCGTCAACATTTGAGTACAAATAACATATTTCAATTACTTAATTTCGACATATCTTTTTTTAATTGTCTATATCCTTCTAGGAAATAGGTCTGATTCTGTAAGACCAAAAAGACATGTCTTATACAGAATCAGAGCCAAGCGGTAGCAGTAAAACACAAACGACCGATAACACAACAGATTTCCCTTTTGTGCCGATAATCAAAAGAAATTAAATATTTAAAATTGAGGTATTAAGTTTAGTAGTGCTTGTGTTTACCTATATAATTATAAATTCCTTTTTGACAGAAAAATTTATCTTTTCTTCTAGAAAAAAATTAATCTATGAAATCATTTCTTGCAAAATTTAAATTAAATAAGAGTAGGTAGAATATGAAAAATATATAAATATCTTTTTACAAATCAATATAATATGGGAGAGCAAAAAACTTACATAGACGTCATATTGGATCCTGATGAGGTTGCAGCCCCTTAGGTTCGTAGGAGGCAGTGGCGGTACGTAAAGCTGCTCATTCAGCCACTCATCCTTTTCGCCAGGCTTGATTTTGCCTCTGGACAGGGAGGCCAGCTCCCTAGTTTCGGCCTGCACCACTTTGCTCCTGGCCAGGTATTGTATGGTCTACATAAATGCAAAACAGGAATTCGTAATTAGTTGTAGGGACGGGATTCGAGACAAGATCAAAGGTGGAAATGCAAGTGCTCACCTCGGTGAGGGAGGCTTTAGTGAACTTGATGGTCACTTTGCTGCGGTTGTGGACGAGGGCCGAAATGCCGATTGTTTCGCCGGGCACGTAACCACCGCGGTCAAGCGCCACGCGGCACAACACGGGGCCTGACGAGAAGCATGTGATGCCCAGACGGTGTTCAATTTCACACCGAAAAGGTTGCTGTAAAATAGAGGCCTTAGAGTAAAATAGCTAATTTCAAAGTTAATAATGCTTTGTTTATGGACAAAAAATTCCAAGACTGACATCATTTTTAGTAAAAAAAGTAAATCACAAAGAAAAACTTTTTATAGAAAATTTCTCCCTCATTTTCCTACAAGGCTTTTGTTGAGTTTTGGTCTTTTAAAGACTTTTAATGAAATGATTATATGGACCTAGTAGGACCTTTTTTTATTTTTTATTTTTTTAATAATGCTCCTTTCAAAACGTTGGTAGGACGCAGAAAAAGCCATTTCCACTCTGGGGAGACACGAATTTCGCATTTCTGGAAAGTCAAACAGAACGCGGGCACCCTTTTGTAGGAATTTGACAGGGCACGCGGAACACAAACATCGCTGGCAAAAAAGCTCTCTCCACTTGTTCCATTCACTCCCTGGGTTTTGGGCGGCGGCATATTATTCATCAGAGCAGGTCTGCTTATTAATCATGCATATTTTAAGCCAGCAGCCAAAATGAATTTGCGCCTTGGCTGCATTTATCCTAAGCGTCGGCGGCACCGCACTTTGCTTTTCTTTGTTTGGCGCGCGGCCGGTCCACATGCCAACTAACTTTTCGTCAGGAGGCTGCAAAGATTAAGCCGGTATCAAAGTTTGCTCCCTGCTCGGCGCACACGCAAACATGAATTTAATTGCCGGGCGGAATGAGCAGTTGGATGAAAAGCCAGCGCCAGCGCCAACCCAACTCATAATTAGTGCGAGTTGTTTAGCATTAATAATTTACAAGACCCTGGTTGCAAAATGGAAAACGAGCTGTTTTTACAAGACCAGTAGTAAGTGCTCGTCTGCTTTTATCTTGCAGCAGTGCAACGAAACTTAAACGCAGCTCCCACCATGACAATAATTTGGACAATCACGAGTTTCATGACACATTAACAAAAATTTAAAATCTGGATTGAAAAGACTAACAATTAAACTTATCAAAATTTTCCCATAATTGATATATTTTAGTAACTTCAACTAAAATTGAAGTTCAATATTTTTTTTTTAATAAAAAAATTTGACTCGCTTATCTAGTCAATATTATAAAATATTATATTGTATGTATAATTACGGATATGATATTATTAGATTTTTAGATCTTTAAATTTTACTCAATATAAAAAATTACTTACAGCTAATATGGGCGGCTCGAGATTCAAGTCGATGGGGTTCATGACGATGAAGACCTGCTGGTTCTTGTGAGTGAGGCCATTGGGCTCCCGCAGGGCCGCTTTGCAGTAATATTGGATCCAGCCATGTTTGCCGAGGAAGGTGGACGGAAGTCCCAGTGGAAGGCCCAACTTAAAAGGGAAGCTGTGGATCCCTGGAGACAGAACTGAAGGTCCCTGACCTGGAAAATCAAATCTGATGAGCAAAGCTGAGGAGCGACGTGAAAAGAAAAAGAAAAGCCGATTCACGACTGGGAGCAACAGCGGCAGGTTTGTATTTAATTAAAAGTTTTGCGCGGAGCTATGAGGACAACTGCATATTCATCGCGCAGAAAAGGGTAGTGTTATAAATTCGCTTGGTTTAATTGCAGTGCTACTCTCAGACAAAAGGATTAAATTGAAATTGGAGCACCTTATTCCACAAAGACGGTTATGCTTCTTGTTGCTTAAAAAAATTAACTAAAACATTGTTTACTTTTGTTACTATATTGCTTCAAATAAGCTTTTTTAAACTTATTTATTTATGTACACTATTCAAAAATAGGCAATTATTTGCTCACATTTGCTATGAGCTTGATACCATTATCAATTCCAAATTATAAAAGATGATGTATGAAATTTTGAAGATATATATCAATGATGTTATCAAATTCGTTGGAGAAGAAAAAAATAATAATTTTGTGATCCATTTTTTTGCTTAATATTGGAGGAAAATCAATAAATTGATGTAAATGAAAGAAAACAACAAAAAAGAATACTGACAATTTTGAGCTCTAGAAAATGAAGAAGAAAATGCGATTTTTTCCTCATCATTTTTACATTGAACGTTGCGTTAGCTAACATTTTTTTCAGCGATTCTCATTTTGCTTCCGTACTTCACACACTCTCTATAAACTACAGAAAGTACACACCTTATAGCCATAATTACGTCATATTTTCACCAGTGGCATCGCACCGAGAAGGTTTGTTTAACACAAACAAAAATTCTGAATTTTTAACCATCCTGCCGGCAGAAAATTTGCATTTTTCCGCTCAAAAGCACATTCATTTTGCGCTGAGAATGAGTGTAATCAAGCGAGCTCTTCGCTACCAGCAGCAAAACTGTGTGGAGCTCATATATTGCACGGAAATTATTATACAATGTGGTGCTATAGCATTGTTCCATTATGCATGTGCTTTATTATTGCATGTACTCCATTCTCTCACCAAGTTGGAGTCTTGACGATGCAAGATCACATTCTCTTTCACCGGCAACATTATTTGCAGACGTATTAGAGTCGGAGATAAATCCATCGAGTGCGATCATTTTCTTGCTGCTGCAAATGCGAGCGCCCGTCGCGCGCCGTTCACCGACTGATAAATGCTTTTCATTTAGATAAAAGCACGTCTAGCTTTCCTGCCACGTTTTACGCCAGGTCAGTTTGCAACCGTCGTGCCAGTAAATTGGCAAAACAGAGATAAATAATTCAACTTGGGAATGGATGATTACAGCCCAAGGCAATTTGCAATTATGAGATGCTATTATTTAATTGGAGTAAACGTCTTCGTTGAAATAGAAATGTGCAGTCCATGTATGATTATTTGTTAAAACAATCTAAATGCGAAAATTAATTAAATCTCTGAGCACCATTATGAAGAAAATGGCATATTCAATTAAATTTTATGTTATACAGGAAACACATCCATAATAATGAAAAAGAAAAAATGAAAATTATTATTCAAAATATGATAATTAGTATATAACAAAAAATTGTACATGTTTACCAGATGTTTACGTGTATATACAATAGACAACAACTAAATTACTATTGTTGTTTATTTGCCAAAATTCATAAAAATCCTTTAATAATATAAATTTTTTTCTTCAAAAAATTGTTTTATACATTTCGATTCTAATAAATTTATTCGAAGCCTGACTGAGAAAAACAAACTTTTGAAAAATATTTCAATGGAAGCAAAGGCTACGAAAATTTTTAACATCGGGATTGGAATTTGATTTGATATACTTGCATTTTAACTTTTTCTCATTTCAAGTCAAGATTATTAATAATATAATGGTAATAATAGCGAAATTGTAACAGAGAAGTTATGGGGTGTTTTTTTTCTTTTTTGGGCGAGAGCAACAATTCCAGCTCTTTCTCTTTAAGGGAGCAGAAAGGGGCAGAAAAACACACGCAGGTATGAATAACAATTGGCATAATCAGTATTCTCGTCGGCGGTGCCAAGGAAGGGAGCACGCGGCTGTAAACTCGAGACGCCGTCTGCGAAAACTCTTTCCTTCCTGTGCGGCACTTTAGCAGCGGCGTGAATCGCAGATCGCTCTCTCGTTTTCTCCTCTTTGTTTTTCTTACACCGCGTCAGTTAGGAAACTAATAAAATTCCGCCAACCGGGGCGATAAAATTTGCTCCGCCGTTCCTTTCAGGCCCGCAAAATATGGGCAAATTTATTATCATCTCTGCTTAATACTCACCAGGCTCGCCGAGCAGTCGCATCCGGAAATCGATGTAATTCTCTTTGTCATAGAGGCGTTCGTGGCGACCGCTCTGCACGCGAACCACGCCTTCGCCCACTACGTGGAAATGTAGGCCTGCGGAAAAAATACGAATTAATTAAAATGAGGAGGTCATGCGCGAATGAGAAAAAGAGCAGTGAGGTGATTTTAAGAAACCACTTCTTACTTTTTGGTGTTTAATTGGGTCGGGTTGGGAATTTAATTTAAAAGTCAAAGTGAGAACGAAATACGGAAAAAGTTAATATGAATTACAAAATGTCAGAGAAATGTTATACACTCAAACAAATTTTTATGAATTTATTTGAAAGCTTGAATGCTATAGTTAGAGTAAATATATAGAGGCTTTATTTATGTTTTCATATCTTGTATAATTTAACCTTTTTCACTTAAGTTTTGAAACAAAATTGATGATGATTTAGTTTTGACTGGATTTGGGTGGTAGATGAAAGTTTCAGCATCAATTTTGTCGTACTGTAATTTTTGTGATATTTAAAGCTGGCTTTCTAAAAGTAGTGCTATTTATTTTTATGCATTATTTTCTTAGAAAAAGAAAAGTAAAAATCGTAAGAATCTTAAGTAAGTACAATAGTTTCCATTTTATAGCTAATAAAATCAAGATCTAATTTAAGAGAGCTATAATAATGTTCCGTTTTATTTAACTCCTCAGTAGAAATCATGGAGAATGAGCGCAATAACCAGCATTTTTTTTTTTATCCAGAAACCATAAAAATGCTTCTTTAATGAGCAGTAATTGCGAGGCTTGTTCTGTAATTGAGGGAGCCCGACTGCCCTTGATGTGCAATTAAAAGGAAACCAAGTCGTTACTTTTAACACTTTTGGCATACAATTGAATTTCTCGCGAAAAGCAATGGGGATTTAATGAAATGTGGCGCAAAACGTAGCTGATTTAAACGTCAAAATGACCATAATCACTGCGACGGCCGTTGGCAAGAGGGCATCTATTCGCTCGCATTGTTTCTGCGAGTGAATTAATCTATAGCCGGGCTGCAACGGAACGAGTTTTCGCTCGCTCCGCTGCCCCTTTAATTAATCTGCCGCGTGTACAGCGATGATGCACTTTCTCCGCCCGCAATTTAATTAAGATGCACACTTTGAAGGCCGTAAATCACCGCGTAAGAGCCAGATTCCATCAGATGCAAAAACTTGATGCCCACCAACTGGAAAATGTAAACAAGGAGCGAAAGAGAAATTTAAACAGATTTTATCATTTTTCATGAAGCGAAGCCAGCTGGCAGCTGAAAATCAATTTTGTGCGCAGGGGAAAATTTTACTCCATATAAATCGTCTGTATACTGGACACGGAAATTGACGGAAGCCCCGTTCGCAAATTAATTCATGTTGCTACTGGGATTGCTTTCATAAATCGCTGTGCGTGGGTACATTAATCTGGAACGGCTTTCATATTTATGTTTGCGGAACGAGGAGGAAAATGGGAACGATAAATATTGACTAAAGAATCGAATGTATACACTATGGTCGGGATCAACGCATTTTCATTTTTTTATTGCACCATTTGTCCACCAACCAATTTCTTTTTATGTAAAAACCGTAAAAAAAACTTTATTACTCTGTTTTGACAAAAGCTTTCAAATTTCAGAACACTGTGGCGTCACCAAAGTCTCCTTTTGCTGAATCCCCCTGCTTATCAGTCTCCCAACTTTATGCGTTAGGTCTGTGAATTCCAGGTCTGGAGGGATACAGTCTGTGCTTTGTGAGTTTTATCTGGGGCTTGTCACCCATACACCCAGTGGCGCGAGCATCTTCCTGCTCATGACTTATACTTGCAGCTCAAGCCGGTCATATCTGGGACCAGCATGGTGTTACCAGCAAAACCTGATTATGTGGACGAATATGCAATCGATCTCGTACAATTTTATAGACAGAATAGCGGTTTGCAATTAGGAGTTGAATTTCAATCGGTCGAAATCGAGAAAGCAGCCGGACGAGTCGCAGTAAGAGAAAATTTCTTTCTTTTCACTTGTAATTTTTAAATGCAGAAAACAGGTATTCCACGTTTTTTTTCAAATGAAAGAGATGAAAATATAAATCAACTCTGACGTCACATTCTGGGAGTTACGTGGATCAAAGTTGGATTTTTGCCTTGCAGCTTTTTACAATCGATTCGTCCACGCTGTAACGGTGAGAGGGCCAGTTAATAGCCCACTGCGATAGAGTCACTCTGAAATTCCATTCGGCTTGCAACAGCACACCGGGTATTTACAAATAGGATGTGCCTGAACCTGGCCGCACTACTTTTTCAGTCACATATACACAAAAGGCAATTTTTGCTCTTTAGCTCGCGGCTCCTGCTGCACTATGACGCTCCCGCTCGACATTTGACTTTTTCCAGCTTGAAATATGAGCTGCTCAGTTCGCTCGGTAAAAATGAAAAATAAAAAAAAACAATGTGGTGTACAGAAAAACAAGGCCGGCTCATATTGGAGTAAAAAAAATATTTGAGAGTGAAAAATGGAAAATTGTAGCGCAGCATACGCTTGAATTTATAAACTGATTTGATTAAAAATTTAAACAAATGCACATGAACAATTAAAACGTATAATAATAATCAATTCACAAAATATTTTTGTTACATGGAAAAGCACTGAATTTTTACGCTTTTAAATTATTGCGCAAAGAACATTTTATTATTATCTTGAAATAAATTTCGCGCACCTGGGGTAAAATAATTTTACATTCTATTAAGCTGAGCATTAATGAAAGTGCGGCTCACCATATCTCTTTCCCTTTAGGCGCGGTTTGGGCGTCAACAGCCCTCTCGCTATTCGTTTTACACGCCTCGCATATGCATGAATAAGCCCTTTCGTGCATATTCAGAACAGCGGCATTCAACGTAGACGTACAACCCCGGTGCACTTAATCCTCCCACTCTCAGGATGGGTCGGCCAGCAGCTCTTCTTATCACGCGCAGGCAAATTATTAATGACAAGCAGCAATTGCTGTTCAAACGAAAGCGCTCCTCTCCACCTCTCTCACTCGGTACATCATTTATACTTTGCTGCGTGCGTACGTATACGGTTTAATGCGTATCCGTGCCTCGACGTTATCCCAAATCCGTCGCCGCCAAATTAGAGTAAGCACATTAGGGACACGCGCATAAAGCAACAGTCTCGTCAACCAAAATCCGCGCCAACAGCAGACGCTGTAAAGCAGTCTGGATATTTGCTTTGCGTGTGCGATTATCTGTTTATTTAAAGACTTTTCCAGGACGGTGCGTTAATTAGCCGTGGAAGCTCACGAGATTAAAGAAATTTAATTGTCGCCTAAATTTAAGGGCCCTTGACTTATTAACTCCGGGTGGAATTACGTCTTGAGCTAATTACAAATTCCAGGCTTAATTCAACATTTTCTTTTGACTTTTGCTTCAAAGCACCTTACATTTGTGCTAGCAATAAATTGGCAATTACGGAAAGCAAATTTTCCTCATGGGCGACTAATTTGCACGCTACTTCACGCGAGCCAATTAGCAACTCCTCCCCTTGAGAATGCTCACTCGCAGCTCAGACAAAATTATATACACACGTTTTTGCGCTCAAAGAACACGTTCATGTTGAAATTAATAATCTTGTTTTGCACTTTGTTTTAATCAAGAGGCGCCTCGTCTCTGTCGACACAGTTGTTTGACATCGGACCTTAAATTAACTCAAACCCTCTGGGCACTTTGATGCTCAATTTTGATTCACGGTATGGAAATAAGTTGTAAATAGGCAGATGGCGAAATGTTTGTCAAAGAGCAGGCAGCTTTGCTACTATTTACGCAAAAATTGCACGGTACACTAGAGGCAAATCTACAATTTTGTTCTTCCCTTTCAATATTATAATTATTAATATTATATTATATATTTTTTTTAAATTAAAAATTTTGCCATTTTATTTTTTTACACAAACTTCAAACATTATTATTTATTAGAACTTAAAACTGTTCTTTGCACACATGCAGAGAGGGTCTAAAAATAAACGTTTAAACTTTTAAATTGGTGTTTTAAGTTCACGCCACTTTCCTCCTCGCTTCTGGCCAAGCGTGTAAAGTACAAGTCTTGTGACTCAGCAAGAAGTGTGCTGTGGTGGTCTTACAGTTATCTTGCTTGGCAGATAAATAATTATATGTTGCAAAAATAGTTTTCGCACTCATATAAGTGGCACTATTGGATAAGGTGCTGCTCTTAATTAAACGCTGGTCAAACTTATATTTTAGAAAAATTCCACTTACACTGCTTAAGTTTTGCAGTAAACTTGAAGTTTATTACTTTTATAAAACCTCACGTGTTGCCGCGCTGAAAAAACTTGCAATAGTTCGCCGTCTAGCTTTTCATGTTCGGCGCCTGATATGAAAAAGCAGATAAAAGTGGCGGCAAAGTATGCAAATATACCGTCGGTTTTTCCACTGGGAAATTAAGACGACAAAGTGGCTGCTGCGACCGAACGGCAAAGCTCCCGGGACTTGCAAACATTCTCTAATTTTGTGAGCTACACTCAACGTGCTCGCCTGGGCGGGTGTTTGACCCCATGAATATGCATGCTAAGTGCGCGCACATAGACTTGCTGCTGTACATGTGTCGGTACATTTGCTAATACATAAAACTATCCCAACACATAGTGTTGGTGACGGAGTCCGCGCGCATTTATTCTCGGCTGCGACCACCGTTTCACCGTTACCATCGAGATCGTGAACTGCTGGAGGCTGCAGGGCGCTCTCAGCTGAAGCTGAACATGCACGGACCAGCCAGACGGGTCGAGGCTATTGTTGCGACCATTGTTGAGTCAAAGTGAACTCAAGTAATGGAATGGTACTGGTCAATGCACTTATTTTTCTTAACTGAAAAAATTGAAAGCAGATTTACTGTTAAATTAAAATGGGTGTAATTAATTTTGATTCATTGTATTCTTTCTTTATCCAGTGTGAATAATAAATGAAAATAATTTTATAAAAAAAAAATACACAACAACAGCAATTATAATGAATTTAAGTTAAAAAAATGAAGCTAATTCTATTTTTTATTTTAATACAACGTTTAAATTATAAAAATTTATTTTTG